GCCGAAGGAAAATCGTGGAGTTTGAGTTGCCCCCAAGTAGCTGTAGGTGGCAAGTGAAGTTTGAGATACATGGTCCCTTACAGGGGGAGACTCCGTCATCCTGCCTGGTTGCTGTCGTCACTATGCCAAAGTAATAAAATGCTAATGAATTAATTTTCGCAGGAACCTTGCAATAAAGTGACTAGGGCCCCTGCTCCTGGCCCTTTCTTCTCTTAACTGCTCTTGGCATTTAACATTGGCCCAAAGACATTCCGGCGAATGCATTAATTTTAACGAACACTTATTAAGCTCCGGCTGGAGCTACAAAATGAATTATGCACTTAATATTATTATTAAACATTTTACTAACCCATCAAAGTTGGCAGCAAATATTTGATGAAGTTAAATTTTAATCATCTCCCGGCCCTGTTTACCCAGGGGAGCATTTCAAATTGAAAACGCTCCCTAAATAGTTGCATTAAACAAATATTTCGACTGAATTCCCCCATTCCCTTTGAGATGAAATAAGGGGCGAAGGGATTGGGGCATGAACTGGGGAGCAGGAGCGGGAGTCGGAAGTAGGCGAAAGCAATTTCCTAGTCACAGATTTGATTTTGTTTGCCCAAGCGGTGCGGCATAAAATCGTTTGCCAAATGCCAAAGCGCCCAGATGTATCTCGCAGATACATTCGGCTAATGAAATGCACGCTCCTCTGCCGAAGTGGGGCTGCTGCAGGGTCTGCGTAGCCAGAGCTGGGCAAATAATCAAGTCCGGGTCCGGAGAACAACAATAAGGGGGGCAGCACCAAAGAGCTCGTAAAAAAACTCACCACACGATAAAAATCAAAGAGAAATATCTGCCAGCAGAAATTCAATACTTGAATGGTTAAAATGGAATCGACTTGGGGTTGCTATGTAAGGGATAATTTATTTAAAATTTAAATCCTTTTTTATAATTTAGAAAATACTTTTAAAGGCTCTTTGAAAGCCCAAATCTTCTCAACCTATAATGAAAACAATTGGCCTAATTTATAGCAAATGTAAGATTTATTTTATTTAATATCTTAACATCCTGCAAAATTTTTGTTAAGGATATTTGAGTATATAGTTTTGAAGAGTCCCTTTACACCCCACATACCCTGTATTTAAAGAAAACCCGCCTCTACTGACCGCAAAACAAACTTTTTGCTTCAGATTTATGCGGCCATATTTTGCTTTGAAATCGCATCGTGGCTCAGTGGCACTCCAACTATACAACCACCCACTGGCCTGTCCACCCAACCACCCGACGTGGGAGCTCAGAGACAAAACTCAAATACAACCTGTAGCATTCATCCGCCTGCCTGAGTTTTGGTTAAACGGAAGTTCTATTTACATTTTGCGCTTCAACGCATTTCTATCTTTATCTTTTATGGCAAACGGAATGGAATGGTTGGGGCATGAGCATCTAAATTTTAAATTGAAAATTGATTTTTCCCAATGCTTTCCCCACTCAAGTGCTTGCAATTCTTTGTTGTTTGGCTAGAATTTGATTTGCTTGGCTTGGTGGGCGGGTTGGTCCATTTTTTTTTTTTGTGTTTTGTGATTGATTTGAGTTTGGCCCGCGGTCAGATGGAAGAAAACTGGCCGGAAGCATTTTTTATGATAAGGAGGGTCAGGTTAGAGCTGAGGAGATGCTGATTTTCCAACATAAGTGCGCCTGAGTGACTTTCAATTTGATATTCAAGGATTCTTCATATCAGTGGCATACATTTCAGGGGTTCCCCGGCAATAAAAAAGTGTATGGAAAAAATTCAAAAAAAGAAAATTGGATTCTTAAAGATGAGCGACATTTGCTTACAATTTGTTATGCAAAGGTATTATTTACAAAGCAGGGGAATTTTTAACTAAATAAATATGAAATATCCTCGCTTTGTGATTTCTTATCAAGGATCTATATTGTAACTACTCCCTTGAACTTTGGGGTCAAAAATCAGCACTGCCATTACAAATAATTTTCCTTCAACCCCCTAGAAGTTGTCTTAAAGACGTGGCTTATTGATTTTTTTACTACCTTATCTCAATTTGGTGGAACAGTTAGCAAGTAAATTTGAAATATTATGAAGACAAATATACAGGACTCTGGACTCTGAACTCTGGTCTCGGAGGAGTGAGTCCTGGCATCATAGAATCCGGTCATAAGCCTATCAAAACGTTTTTATTAGATCCCTGCACGCGTCTGGGCGACAAGCCCCCGCCTAAAGTGGAAATGGGGGGGCGCGAAAGCCAAAAAGGGAACGCCGGCAGTTTCGCGTGTGTTTGCACTTTTCCGGTCGCTTTTCCAGCTTTTGAAGGCGACTCCTTTTTTGGGGGATGTTGGCATTGTGCTAAAGAAATTGATAGCGTACGACAAATCATACCTTGAGACGGAGAATGCCGCGTGGGGGCTGCATTTTTGGGGGTGGCTTGTGGCGGTGGCTCAGTGGTGGCTCCACTGAGCTTATTTGTCCCTTTAATGTGGTGGCTGACGCTGTCGTTGTTGTTGTTGCACAATTTGCTGGCCCGCTAATAAAATTTGATAAGCCAAAGTGGAGCAGAGCCAGACGAGGCATATAAAATGTTTACCCGCTGCACGCAAATTGGGGATAAATTTTATGTAATGCAGGGGGAGTGACACAGCAACCCAACAACACCCAGTTTTTCCACTGGGGAAAAGTCTCCCAACCCCACTGCCATCACCACCATCACCCCACCAATTGCAAAGTTAATTTGCGCATAAAAATGTTGCCAGGGGAGTCATCTGTCCGGGTCCAGACTCTGGTCTCCTGTGGTATCGTTCGTGGATTAGCCATAAAAGTGTTTCGCCGAATTTTTTCTCTGCTCTTTGATTTATGCCAATGTGTTTTGATTTGCGCCATTTCATTCTATTCTATTTGATGATCCTCCGGCCATGGCCATTTCGTATTTGATGCATGCGAAATGCATTTTTGATGACAGTTAATGGAGTTTTTACTGCCTCAGGGTCCTTGTTAAAGTTCCCTTCCCCCAAGCTGACTTGGCACATTTTTTCCCTAATTTTTTTTTTGTTTTAAGCTGGGACAGTGTAAATGATTGGGGGTGGCTTGGTTTTATTAGGGGAAGGAGCTTGAGCAGGAGATGGAGTCCAGACAGACAAAATTTGAAAGCGCTTTTATATGGTCTGGATGGTCCATAACGTTATTTGTTGTTTATGCGTATATAAAATAAACTAATTTGTCTGCTCCAAAGATTTTTTCATGGTCTTTTCAAAGAAAAATAAAGTTACTTCATAAAAAGTTGCTTAAAAAGTAAAGTTTAATGGGGAAACAATGTCTTTCTTCGTATTAAAATTATATATTTATATTAGAAATTATTATCCTTTGAATATTTTATGGTTAATTTTAGAAACAATTGTTGTAATAACATATTTAATGTCCTTTTGTTCGAAATACCATCATCCGCATAATTGAGATTTCCTGCCATTAGGCGATTTTCCATTGCCTACTTTTGGGCTCAGTGACCGGGAATAGCTGCAAATGTAAAGTCATGCCAAATATTTGCCCACACAAAGCGACAAAGTCAGGGCCAAAAGCAAAAGGACATCATGTAAGCAAACACCAGCACACACACGCAGGCACACACCCCACACACCCACTCACTCATCGCACTCACACATCTGCATAGCAAACAAAAACGAAAGCCAGCGAAAAGGATGGGGAAACGGAAACGGATCTGGGCACAGGCAGACAGGACACTTAAATGCTGCTCAAAATTGGATTTGGGGCCAGCTTAGAGAAATTCTCTAGATATCTCCCGACCTCCTCCGCCACCATCCAGCTGATAAACATTTTTATAGTTAGGCTCGAGTTTGCCATAAGTCATGGCTCATCCTTTTTTCTCTCTATACGGTTGGTTTTTTTTCGTCACCGTCTTATTCCCCAGCTGCACATTAAAGCCTTGGAAATCGTGTGGGCTTCTAGAGAGGGGGGAAAGGCAGGTCCTAGAAGCTGCAAGGCTCTGTCACTGTTTATGCTTATTTAAAAAAGTGGGATCGCTTCGAAGTTTTGATTTGATAAAGCAACAGAAAATCCAAGACTGGCAAGCGATAAGGATGAGAGAAAATAAGAGAATGGCGGGTTATGACATAAAAGTCTGAATGCCCTTTAAGATGAAGGAGCAGGAACCCAAACCTCAAAAATTAAATGGTTTTTTATAGACTGAGCCACAATTTTATAAAATTATAATCTTATATTTAAAAATCTTTAGAAAGTTTGTCACTTGAAAGACCCCTTTAATATGTAAATATTTTAATGCTTCTAAAGAAGACACTTTTTAAGAAACTTAAAAATCTTAAAAAAAAAAAATGTAAGGACATTGTAATTATTAATTTAATTTAAAAGTGAAAAATACTTAGTCTTTGCGTAAAAAGGTCCTTTTTTAATAATGGTAGAGTATTTAAAGAACCAGGACGTTTTCCAGCCCAAGGACGTCAAGAAAAATACACGGTGGGATGAGTATGTATACCGGCTGATAAAAAAAGTCATCGTATATGCAAGTCACATACGCACGAAGCTTTTAATAATAAAAACAACGAGCCTACGTAATACGAAAACAAAGTAAGCAGCCAAGCGTGCGTGTGAATGTCTTTATGTTGGCAAAAATGAGCCGCCAAGGATACTCAATTCAGTCTAAAAGTATCCTATACACCATCGGTGGTTTTCTTACCAAAACGATTCCTAACTTTAGCCGAAAATAACCCCTATCATGATTACCCTATCATGTTTCTGTTACCCTTAAAAACCCTTAAAGTTTCACAACTTCTTTTTCAGCATACTCACGGTGATAATGTCAAGTATTTTAAGAAATAAAAGTGAACATATATTTAGAATTAATCTGTTTAAAATATGCCATTAAATATTTGGCCACTTTTTTATAAAAACTTTTATTGGCAGTTTAATAACTTAGGTTATAGGTTATAACATAGGTTTAAACTTAATAGTAACACTAAGAAAAATCCTGTCGGGCATTATTCAAATGAAACACAATGAAACTCTACCTTTGGCCATAAAGAATCCTTGGTTTTCCAGCAAAAATATAAAGTCATACATAAATACACTCTTATCATTAATAACCAAACTACGAAATAATTTTAAACAATTTTTAACTTAAGAATATCAATAAACTTCAGTTCTAGCACCATTTAGGAAAACATAAGACTAAACAGAGACTTTAACTGCTGTGTGGCACTACAAGTGGGACCACATATAACCACATCCGCGTATATCTGGTGCTCGCGACTGTAGGTTAGATTTTTAATGTTGGTGAACTTGGGCTGGACGACCCGCTGCAGCAAGTCTTCAGGACGCAGAGCATAGCAAAGTTTACCACACAGGCACTTTGGCGCTTCACTAATCAGTTCTATAAGAATGGCGGGCAGGGAGCCCGGCGATAAAGGAAGCTTAAAGTTGGCCACGGCACGGGACGCTTGAAGCCATAGGGGTTGCGGCGTCATGGTAGCTGCTGGCTGCTGTGCTAGCTGCTGGGCAGCCTCGGCATTAAACGCTTTAAATCTGTTACCCCACACATCTAGCTGATCAATATGTAGATCCTCGATAGCTGAGGGCAGAGATTCCAGCTTATTGCTGCTCAAATGCAACTTTCGTAACGCCTTCAACCTGCGCATGGCAAACGGCAGACGTATAAGCTCATTATAGTTCAGATTCAGAAAGACCAGTCGCTCAAACTTGACCAGCGGTGCAGGAAAATGGGTAAGTCCATTGCTCGATAAATCCAGTTCACAGAGGGATTGACTCAGCTTACTGCCCCGCATCCAACACCAGTCGTTCACCTCTCCTAGGCAGTTGCTACCGAGGTTGAGGGATTCCAAGGGCAGGCGACCCAGTTCAGGGGGAATCTGTAACAAATAAACTCTACAAAACTCTGCAAGCCAGATCATTCTTTGAGTACACACCTTAGTCAACTTGTTACCACTAACATCAAGCTTTACAAGATTACGTAGCGAGCATATCTCGAAGCTGAGCTTAACCAGTTGACTGTTGTTGATTGTTAAAGATTTGAGAGTGCGTGGAAAACCCTTAATGGGGTATTCGCTTCTCTTGCTGATCATCATGCGCACCTGAGGTTGCGCCTTTTGAGGAATAGCCGTGGCCCCCGCAATGTTCAGTCTCAAGTTGATGGCATCCTTGCCCTCCATGCCCAGTTTGAGGGTCTGCAGAAATCCCTTCAGCTGGATGGGATCGCATTTGATCAACAGGTTCTCCGCAGGCTGCTTAAAGCCGATTGTTACCTTGCCGTCAAGCACAAACTTGGTGTGCACGGCGTTGATGTTGTCACGAACCTTGTAGCGGCATCCCGTCTTGGCTTGTCCACTAAACAAGACCATTTCCAGCTCTTTTTTTGTGTTTCCATTGGCGTCTCTGGCGCTCTGCTTGTATCCTATTGCCAAAGTAGACTTTACAGCCTTTGGGGTCCTGTTGGCCTGTGTGGTTCGGTTTACCACCTGAACCTCGCACAGAATCTTCATGACGAGGGTGTAGAGGGGCTCGGCTCCAAAAAACGCGCTAAAAAAAACAAAACATTTGTAGCCAAGTTGGAAATGTTGCCACCTGTAAGCCAGCTGTTGCAAGTGCTGCCAGACGTCTCTAAAGAAGTATGGTCGTATGGTGATTTAATACCAAACAATTTTTGGTATATTTTTGTTTAAATTATTTAAAATTTCAAATATTTAAATATATGAAGCAAATCAATAAATTATTTGTACCACAAATCAAAAGAAAACTAATTAATTTAAGATATTTTTGTGTTAAAAAGACCAGTAAAAATGTTTAGTTTTTGGTATACATTTAAATAAATTATTTAAGCAAATTATTTTATTTGCATGAAATAAAAGTGACTACTACTTAGCTTTGCATCTTTAATAATTTAAAAAGTGGTGCTGCTTTAAAAAAGTGCAACATATTTAAAAAAAAAAAGGTTGCCACTTCGATGGTTTAAGCTCGAATAAAGTGCAGCATAAAAGCTTTTTCAAAAACCGAACAGCGCAGGAGCAGTTACAAAACCAAAACAAGAAATTGCAGTCGTTGGCCTATAAAAGTAAACTTTAATTAAAAAAGTAATGCTATTTCGCAAGGCTCGCCGACACTTTCTGCCTTTTTACATGTTCAATGGGTTCTTGTGACAGAGAAACGAACGTTATCAGCGTTTTCGTTACAACAGTTCCAGCATTGGCAATCCTCGACGGGAGCTTACCGTAAGTCATGGATGCAACATATGGAGCAATATTTTACTTAATACAGTGGATATTGCTTAAAAGAGAGGAAGAGAGGAATATCACCTGTTTTTAGTTACTAAATTAAAAGCTTCCAAAACTTAAGAATAATTCTCCCTTTTCCGCAGAACAACATTCTTTTGGACAACCATGTCAACAGTAACGTGATAATAAACATTGAAAACGGCGCGCTCTACAGCACCCATGTAAGATTGTATATATAATATTTTGAAATTGTTCGCCTGATCGACTAAAAATAAGCTTTTTCTTCTCGGCGATGGGGCAACGCAGCGTTCAGCTGATCGCCAGTCCCCAACGGCCCGACGACGACAGTGCTTTTTAATCATTTTTCGGTTTTTCTGCGCAACGGTTGCTTTCGGTTTGGCCGTCGGCTGTGTCATCTATACGCTCCACACAATGGGCTGGATTTTTGCCGTTCTCGTCGCGCTCGTTGCCCTTCTGCTTACAAAGCCGGGATGGCGTTGGTTCTACATCGCGGGAGCCACTGCCCAGCGTGATCTGACGTGAGTGGGAGAGTGGGGATGGATCAGGGTCAGTGGATTGGGGCTGGCTAGCGAGGGCGCCCTGTACCCGAATGATAAGTTTACAATACCGCCCCCGAGCGGGTGTGCATTTCAATACAATTTAGCTGGCATTTCTTTTGTGAATCCATTGAGGCGCTGGCGCATCAGAAAAAGTCAGCCGAGTGCGAGTACTTTGCTCATTGTACCCAGTTTCAGACAACTCCCACCCCCAGAGAAGAAAACAACTAACTCTACTCAAAAAAAAAAACTGGTTTTCAAAGTAATCCGATGAATAGATACTTTTGAAACTAAAATAAAGAAGGTTTTTAAAAAAATCGGACTCTAAACTCAAGTGTAGAGTCGAAAACCACAGCTATTTTCTTGAGCTCAGCTCACAAAACCGCAGAGAAACTCGTTTTCCGTCGATTTGGGTCGCCATCTGCAGCAGCCATTTTCAAGTTTTCAAGAAAAACTTTTAAAAAAAGAGAAAACTTCCAAATGGTAATGAGAGGCCATCATAATTCCCATAATTTGAGGAAATTGTAAATTATTTTTTTTTACGCTCATATGTACATATGTAGCTATAGTCAAGTTTATTGACTTCTTCAGGTTCAAGGTCGCCCAGTGACGAAAATCAAAACAAACTTCCATATGAAATAACGATGAGACTCACTTTTATTTACCATTGACTTCATACGATCGTAGCCCATCGAAAGACCCTCGGCGCATACTAATCGATCGAGTGCGTCAGGGCGGAAGACTCAGTGGCACACTAACCGAACCGGACTGATGCGACTCCGAGTCCCCTCCAGCCCCACAGAGCCCGCAGCTGTTCTTGAAAACGTACGCCAAAAAGCCAAAGCGGTGCCAATTAAAATGGCGGAAGTGTCGTATCTGTTTCTGTTTCTTGGCTTTGTATTTTCAGTTGTCTAGAGTTGCCAGGCCTAGATCGGGTTCCACTTTGTCTGTTCGGAAGGTATATGGAAATTTCCTGAAACCGTGATGATATGGAATATTTCAAATTCTATTGATAGATATTAATATACTAGATACATTCTTTTACAAAATATCATATTAACTTGGCTGGAAAATTATTTTATTCTTTATAGATCCATAAAAATATATTGCTTGGAAAAATTACTGGTATCTCTTTAAAAGACAACATTTAATTTTCGCAGCATTTTAGCTATAATGAGTCGACTCGGTCAGCAAAATCGAGTTTCATGCCAAGGCCAGCCACAGTGATTGCTATATGTTTACTTGGCACTTTTTATGGCATCGAAAATACCCATATCTCGGCTCACAGATTCTTAAGATCGGATTCAAGTTTTGACGGTCAACCTTGGGGCATGTGTTTTTTTTTCGGAGTAGCCACGTCTAGCATTAAAGTTATCACCAAGCAACGCCAAACAAACCACTCAAGGGGGGTCATAAGGCCTGATTAAGACCCTATAAATACCCGGCTAACAGTAGTTTAACTAAATCGCTTAACGCGGCAATCTTATCGATACTCCACTGCCTCTAAGGCAGATCAAAGTACGGACGGGTGCAAAGCGAATTCTAATTGAGATCGTCCAAGTGGTCGAGTCCCAAGTCGAGTGCAAGTTTTTTCCCCTTTTTAACATACTGCCCAGTCGATCCAACTATTGCGGTTGGTTTTTGCCAATGGGAATCAACGATAGGGATTAGTTTTAGATTCTAAAAATATATTTAGAGCGTATCAAATCAAGATTTCAACAGCTTTCCAAGGTTTTTCAGACCGGAAACTTGAGATTATTCTTTGCCAACTATACCAATTATGAAAAATTAAACAGTTTTTCATTAGTCTTTTAAATATTTCCCTATAAAAGAGTATTTCCGTATCCATATGTTAATTTATTAAGTTTGTACTTTGGTTTAAAATTTAAGGGAATTGTGTGTAGTTTCCAAGCCGGCGGGTCAGAGTATTTTGAAAAGTCAACAAATTACTCTGTAAAGTGCGAAAAGTGTACTTTATCGCTAAGCAAATGGTTTAAAAACTACTTATTATATTACACTAAAGTTTACTAATTGCATAGTTGACATTTTATGAAAAAAAAAAGAAAACCAGTAATCAGTGGTAATGGTTATCAGAGAAAATAAATAAAAACTAGGTCAAGAGAAATTTTAAATATCAATAATAATACTATTGGAGATGCCCCTGAATATTGGCTGATTCTTGTTTAAGAAATACAAGTCTCTAGTACTTTGACCTCTTGAACTTTCCATTACTCAGCCAGTATTTTAGCCAAGTCATTATATTTATGTTTGTTGCTCTTGTTGGCGGATCGAGTTACCACCACGTTCCGTTTCGATTGCAGCTACTCCTGGTTGGGGTTTATCTCTGTGGGTTTATCGCCGGTCTCCGGTGTTGCGCTTGTCGAGCTTCGATTTGGATTTTTGCGCTATTTTTAGTGACCTAACCGCCAAGCCATAAAACAAACACACACGCGATCGATGGGGAAGATATGGCTGGTATACTGGCTACTGTCGCTTATCAAACTTGCCTTTTTCCCATACAATATTAATTGAGGTGAAGCAAACCTCAATTAATAAAACTAATTACATGTAATACTAACAAAAAAAAAAATATAAATCTATCTCCTTACAGTGCCCTTTGGGCTTACATCAAGCTACTGAGGTACACGAAACGCCATGAACGTCTTAACTATACGGTGGCGGACGTCTTCGAGAGGAATGTTCGCAGCCATCCCGAGAAGGTGGCCGTTGTCAGCGAGACCCAGAGCTGGACCTTCCGCCAGGTGAACGAGCATGCCAACAAGGTGGCCAACGTTCTGCAGGCTCAGGGCTACAAGAAGGGCGATGTGGTGGCCCTTCTGCTGGAGAATCGTGCCGAATATGTAGCCACTTGGCTGGGTCTGTCCAAGATTGGTGTGATCACCCCTCTGATCAACACCAACCTGCGTGGTCCCTCCCTATTGCACAGCATTACGGTGGCCCACTGCTCAGCCCTCATCTATGGGGAAGACTTTATCGAAGCCGTGTCCGAGGTGGCCAAGGATCTGCCAGCCGAACTAACGCTGTTCCAGTACAACAACGAGAACAACAACAGCCAGGCGGATAAGGATATTTCGAAGGCCAAGAACCTCAACACCCTGCTCGCTACCGCCAGCAAGGAGAAGCCCAACAAGACGGAGGTTAACCACCACGACAAGCTGGTCTACATCTACACCTCCGGCACCACTGGTCTGCCCAAGGCGGCTGTCATCTCGCACTCGCGGTTAGTACCCCTTACTAGATGCACTTCCTCGGAAATAAGATACTTATTGATGAATCTTCCCCCCAGCTATCTGTTTATTGCTGCTGGCATTCACTACACCATGGGCTTCCAAGACGAAGATGTCTTCTACACTCCCCTGCCTCTGTACCACACGGCTGGCGGCATCATGTGCATGGGCCAGTCGGTGCTCTTCGGTTCCACGGTCTCTATTCGCAAGAAGTTCTCTGCCTCGAACTATTTCGCCGACTGCGCCAAATACAATGCCACCGTAAGTGGGATTTATTGCATCCCTACATCACCCACTTACATATCTTCATTGTTGTCCACAGATTGGTCAGTACATTGGTGAGATGGCCCGCTACATTCTGGCTACGAAGCCATCGGAATATGACCGCAAGCACCGCGTGCGTCTCGTTTTTGGCAACGGACTGCGACCTCAGATCTGGCCACAGTTTGTGGAGCGCTTCAACATTGCCAAGGTGGGAGAGTTCTATGGCGCCACCGAGGGCAACGCTAACATCATGAACCACGACAACACGGTGGGAGCCATCGGCTTTGTGTCGCGCATCCTGCCAAAGATTTATCCCATTTCGATCATTCGTGCTGACCCCGATACTGGAGAGCCCATCAGAAACAAGGATGGACTTTGCCAGCTGTGTGCTCCCAACGAGCCAGGAGTCTTCATTGGCAAGATCGTTAAGGGCAACCCGTCTCGGGAATTCCTGGGCTACGTTGATGCGAAGGCTTCGGCCAAGAAGATCGTTAAGGATGTCTTCAAGCACGGCGACATGGCCTTCCTGTCCGGCGATCTGCTGGTGGCCGATGAGAAGGGATACTTATACTTCAAGGACCGCACTGGCGACACCTTCCGTTGGAAGGGCGAGAACGTTTCCACCAGCGAAGTGGAGGCGCAGGTCAGCAATGTGGCTGGCTACAAGGATACTGTGGTTTACGGAGTAACCATTCCGCACACGGAGGGCAGGGCAGGCATGGCTGCCATCTATGATCCGCAGCGAGAACTGGACCTCGACGTCTTTGCCGGTAATCTGGCCAAGGTGCTGCCCGCCTATGCTCGACCCCAGTTCATTCGGCTGCTGACCAAGGTGGACCTGACCGGTACATTCAAGCTGCGCAAGGTGGACCTCCAGAAGGAGGGCTACGACCCGACCGCGATCAAGGACGCCCTCTACTACCAGACTGCCAAGGGGCGCTACGAGCTGCTGACACCGCAGGTGTACGATCAAGTTCAGCGGAACGAGGTGCGCTTCTAGGAGCCCGACTGTCTGCTGCAATGGGGTTGTTTTTCGCTTTGCCTTTTGCCCAATATGCTGTTAATTAATTTGTAAGATAACCACGAGTCGACTTAGCCTAGAAAAAGGACAAAATGGAGAGATCGAAGCTTCGGAGTTTTCTCCAAGCGCGCATTTCCATGTCAACATTGCACTTTTTGTATAACCTAAGTCCCCATGTATCGTAATCGTAGTTGTGTGTGCATTTTTTAGGAGATGATAGCCCCCTATACGCATTTTGAATGTTTTTAGCTTGCTAAAGAACCTTGTTAAGTGCAATTCCAAGCTATTGTTTAGTCAGTTTTAGTGGCATTTACACTTCCATTCTCGCTGCATTTGCCTGTATATACGAGAAGCTCTGATGATTGTGTATCAAATAAAGTTTGTTTCTTCACCATTGATATCGTATTCAAATTCTACGTTTATCGTTGCGGGGGAATGACACCGCCCCACCTGCATACAAATGCGCTCATCCGCCACTATCTATAGAAGACTGTAGTCACATTCACGAATCGTGTGTACTGCCTTTAATAATCTTGAACCCCAATGACATTAAATAATACTCTATACTACAATCGATGCCAGCGGATGACTCACGATTTCTTAATTACTTTGCTTTTAATTAAATTGGGTGTGATGTGTTTGGAGGGAGATCTGCCCCAAATGAGAAAATGGCAAATTATAGTTTGATTATTCCATTATAGCATCTATGATTAAAGCCCAATAATTAATGAACATTTTAATTCCTAGCCATTAGCTCTAACGCCCAGTAATTTACTGGAAAATCAATTAGTTTCGGAATATTATGCCTTATTACTTTGTAAGAATTTTAATATCAAGTTAATAGATGAAATATAATATATTAATATTAGATAGAAAAGTTAACAAAACTAGACTAACTCAAAGATATATCGCTGGCGAAGGGGACACACTTTATTTTAATCAAATAACCATGAGACTCTTTTCAAAAAAAGAAACCCTATATTTCAAAAAGAAACACACAGTATCTCAGTTAACATTTTAAAATAAAACCTAGCTCCCATAGCACACTTCATAAACAACACCTAAAATCTAAATAATAAACAAATAAAAGCGTAACTTTTTTATGATTCTAAATTTTATACTCGCCATTTTTGGAAACCATAAATATTTAAATTTTTAAAAGATGGCGCCAAAGCTCGCTGCAACCTCGTAAATATTCCTTAAGGGGGATCTGTTTCTGGGTGACTGCTGGATCGGTAAGAAGCAGCTCCAGCCGAGAACCGTTATCAGTTCAGATGCAATAACAAGCTCCAGTGCGCCCACTACGCATCTTTCCCTCCACTTCCAGTATAAAGAAGATCTCAGCAGTTGCATTCCGGGTCCGTCTTCCCACCGTGTGTGTTTGTGTAACTATCTGTCTGTGTGTGGTGATTATGCACTTGTTCGATCGAATCCCAAGTCTGATTTAAAAAAAAACACGGAAAGCTAAAATGACGGGAACCAACGCTGTAATGTTCTCCATCACAATCCCCACAAAAGCCGAGGAACAGCGCCTGAAAGATGGATACGTTCAGGTCTTAAACGGGGAGGTGGCTACCCCAGCCTCAACCAGACCTGCCAGCAGAGCTTCCACGATCGAGAGCCTTTCCACCATTCGAATTGGGGAATCCCCAGAGGAGACACCTAAGAAACCCGCAAAGGTCCAAAAACCTCCACCCACCATCCAAATTCAGACTCCTGATGGCGGCTCCCGGGATCAACTCCTGGACATGCCATTAGACACCGCTCAGGAGCTAGTCTTGAAGAAGATTCTGCGAAAGTTTCACATTCCCAATGCCATATGGTTGTCCAGCTTGGATGGCACAGCCTACAACGTCAGTTTTTCCATGGAGTTTGATGAACGTTACGAGAGTCTCTATGACGCGCTCCAGGAATGGGGCATTGGCGATCGCGAGGGTTCGTCAGTTTCCGTGGTCAGTTGTTTGGTGAACCGATCCTACGTCCAGCGAGAGTCCCAGGAGGAGCAGGAGGATCAGCCATCAAGTAGCGAGTAATCTCAGCCGAAGTGGTAGATTCTTATGTCCTTAGTAATTGATCTTCCTAGAAATATCAATGCCCAGAAGCAGGGAATCTGGAATCGGTTTATGAACTCGGTGCGATCCCGCTTAAATGTGGCCGGGATCGTCCGGGATGTGAGGCAGGATGCGGCTATAACCTTTGACTTTTGCATACTTCTAGTATCGGCAGCGTAAGAATCCTGGAAATATTTATGTATATTTTTAATTATTTTTCCTTCTCTTTAGGATCCTGGCCAGCTTTGGGTTAGTGGAAAACAGTACCATCTTCTTGGCCTCCAGTATGCTGATCTCACCACTGATGGGACCTATAATTGCTGCCATTTTCGGGACTGTGATCCAGGATCGATCGCTACGAAGGCTAGGCATGCTTAATGAGCTTATAGGCATCCTGACAGCCACCCTGGTTGGATTCCTCTTCGGCCTGGTGGTGTGCACAACGAATCAGAAGTACGCGATCGGAGAAGGACTCACGGAAGAGATGCTCTCCCGTTGCGATCTTCATTCCCTGATTGTTGGAGTTTTTACGGCGGTTCCTTCGGGAGCAGCAGCTGCCATCGGTATTCTGGGCGGCAACATAGGCTCATTGGTGGGTGTGGCCATATCTGCCTCCCTACTGCCGCCGGCGGTAAACTCCGGTCTGCTTTGGGCCGTGGCCTGCGTCTACAAGTTTTTCGAGAACGATGAAACCTTGTACAGGGATGTGGTCAAGTCACGTCACTACTCGGATAACCAGGCGACGGAACTGGCAGTGCTGGGGAGCATCAGCATGTGTCTGACCATCTCCAACGTCCTGTGCGTCTACCTTATGGGCATCCTGGTGCTCAAGATCAAAGAAATAGCTCCGGTCATTGGGCGAAAGAACAGGCAGTTCTGGAAGCATGACATTAAGCTAGCAAGGCACGGAAATGTAGCGACGGAGGCCGAGATAATTGATGAATTGATGGCCAATTTGGCCACTGAAGACCAAAAGGCTTTGGGCACCATCAACCGGCAGTTCCTAAGGCACTTGGACGAAACAGGCTATCAGCACACATGGTCGCCGTTAAGCAATCGTCACAGCTATTCGGTGCAGCCGCCTGGCGCAGCCTTCTCCACCATTCACCGCCTGGAGGAGCTGTACACGATGCTTGGAAACGGGCAGCTGCCGGAAGAGCGACGTCAGCGACGCAGTGTGGTCAGCCGACCATCACAAAGAAGCCATGATGTTGCTATCCAGCTAAGTCCTCCCCAGACCGTAAGTTTTATTCTCGTTTTGTGACTTCAATCTTATTTTCTACCCATTTAAGCGCCCTCGCTTCGCTAGCATGCCTTCGAAGGTTGGCAAGGATGAGTCAATCAAGGAAAATGTCGTCCAAGGACCTAGCCATAAGCGGTTTACAGTCACGCCAGCGCGGGACGATGAACAGCTGCCTTCAGAAACCCACTAAAGCCAATTAGAGTTTCATTTGAACAGATTTTTGAGGGCAGCATATTACTCTTAAAAAGGGTATCTTTGTGACCTTAATTAATCTGTGAAATCGAAATATTCCAATCGGCCAGTATAACTGAGATATTTGTCTATGTGTAATGTGTATTTTTGTGCAACAATATAACAATTAGAAGTCTACTCCACTGGGTCCCTGACGATCCGACTTCACCTGGGCGCGGCCCCTCTTCAGTTGAAGTCGTTCGCGTGCTGCTCGCTCCTGGCGGCGACGTAGCTTTTCCAGGGTCTCCTCACTGGGTGGACTGGCTTCTGCTGCCTCTTGGGCGCGTATAATGGTACGGAGCTTTTCCAACGCATCGGCCAGGTTCATTTGTTGGGATCGGGTCAGGTCGCTCTTGATGTAGAAGTAGCCATCCTTGGTAATCCGATTGGCGAGGGTCTTAAGCAGCTTTTGGCGTGTTTGTTCGGGAATCCAGTCAGCCTCCGCCAGCTTGAAGCGCAGATCTACTTTGGTGTTGACCGTGTTCACATGCTGGCCACCCGGTCCAGAGCTTCGACTGTAGGTGATCTCTAGCTTCTCTACGGGGATGAAGCCGTTGAACTTGTTGTTGCTGCCAGGAGGCTAGAAAATCATGTTTTTATTTAGAAAGGGTAGAATATTTGTATAATTATAAATACTTACCGGTGGGGGCGGCGTGTAGAGTTGCAGTCTCGCACTAGGGTATATCTTGTCAAGGGACAAATCACTCTTGTAGGACAGCTGACGACCCAGAAGTGTGCTGTTTCCACCGGAGGAGCTGCTCTGTCGGAGGACACTGATAAAGGCACGAGTGATTTTATTCATTTTTTGTTAATTTCGGCAGCTTTTAAATTAACTTTTTAAGTTGTTACGAGTGCACAGCTGTTATGTTTTAGACTGACCATAGTTTTATAAAAAAATACTAAACGAGGAGAAAATACTAAACAGGTGGCAGCTCTAACCACTTGCTGCTCTTCTGTTTTGAAAGCGTATCTAACAGATATGTATCTTTTTAAATAAATATATAATAAATTAATTTAGTTTTAGTATCATTTGTCCCTCTATTTGATAGAAAAATTCTTCATAAAATAATAACTACTTCATAATTATCAGCTTAACAACTCTAGTTTCATCTTTGTTCTTAGTTCTCCTATACCTTTAGGACTTGTTCATTTCGTTAAGGTTGTATAGATAAGAAAACCAAAGCAGAGATCCAGTTGTAGAATTCGATATTCAACAGGTGCTTTATTTCTGATTTAAAAATTTTTAACAGTGTAGATAAAAACAACTCATAGAAATAGAAAAAAGACAATTGAAGAAGAATTGAATTGAAGATCAATGTTCAATTGGAATGTTGAAAAAAATTTGAATTGAATTTGAATTGAATTTGAATTGAATTGGGCGCTGGAAATAGAAATGGAAAAAGACTCTCTCGCACCCGAAGACTGATTCGGATGGAACACGAATAAACACAGGGTGCCTTTGGGAGAGCGAATGGCCACAGGGTGATGCCAACGGGGGGTGGCGGGAAACTTGAAAAGGCACTGGTTTCTCGCATAATGTAAACTCTATAAAGCTGTCCGATTCGGAATCGTGGGGAACCCAACGTTGAGTGTTTTTTTGAGTGTCGAGTTGTGCAGACCTACAAAAAGTCGCTGCCGGCGCGGTACTACGTCTGTTTCATATACGTTTGATTAACCGTCCAGACCGCCGATTCCGAATCTTAGCCAACTGGGCCATCATATTTATTGGCTGCATTCCGGCAAAAGAACAAGATCGAAGAGCTAATAGCCCATAAAATAAATGTGACGCGAAACTTGTGGCTTTTAGTGCGACGGCAAAGAATAGTGGTTCCTGTGGAGAACGTGTGCTCTTGTTTCTGGATCGTTTTTGTGTTCCTGATCTCGTTCTTGTTTTGTTCCAATTGGAAGAGTTCGATCGGCCCAAAAATATTCTTTATTAATCGGTGCTCTTCGACCGTTTTTCGTCGTCGTGTCTGTTGTCACAGCGAAAATTATTCAACGCAATCATCAGCAGCAGCAGAAGCAGCGACAGTGACCGAATTCGGTTCATAAAACATAAAAATTACCCTCCAACAGCAAACACACATGGATATATAAACCTATATATATATGTAGAAGATATATATATATATATATATATATATATTTTAAAATTCGAAACAAGACGCGAAAGGCAAGGCAAACAAACAAGCAAAACAAAAGTCGATCTGTGTGTGTTGCCTTTGCCCGAAATTCTTGAATCAACGACGACTGTTTCTGTTACCTGAGTTCTCACCTGAGCTCTTACCTCGGCACCTCGGCACCCTTGCAGCCGGCAATAAGACCCTTAAAGATCCTTCGAGCAAAACAGAAACCAAAAAGAACATCATGGCAGTGCAGCGAGAAGCAGGCGTACAGGACTTTGTCCTTTTGGACCATGTCTCTATGGAGAAATTCATGGATAATTTAAGAAAAAGGTAAGAGAGGGGTCTCTAAATTAGTTAGAAACTATACGAATTAATCCCTTTATAGAAAAGAAAAATAAACCCATTTTTTGCCATGTGCATTTATTGATTTCACTGGTGGCCTTGTCCTCTGTTTTCTTTCCTGACGCAAGTCACTCCTTCCTCTTGGCAGAAAACCCACTTCCCCCCATGAGTTTCTGGTCTAGTTCAAGGTTCTTTCAAGCTAGCTTACAACCTGGGGGCGCCACACAGAAACTGGTTGCGGTTCTTGATTTTTCCGACTCGATTAAACTGGATTTGTTTATCGGCCTTTCAATTAAACCTGGGCAGTCGCCATCTCCGACTTTGTAGCCCCCCTTCTAGGTCTATTCCTCCTCGGTCTTAACCCCGATCCCCACCGGCGTCAACTTCTGGCGTTCTACTTGGCAGCACATTCAATGGACCCATTTGCATGCTCATTTAAAGTGTTAAACTCTTTTATTTTTTGTGTTGTGCGATGACTTTCGGTTTTTAATGCATTCATTAGCGGCTTTTTAATTCAATTTGAGAGGGAAAAGGAAAATTAGTGAAATAGTAGGGGAGGTTTCAAAGAAATTATATTTTACAATCAGAGATATGTGATTTTTAAGAGGGTTTCCACTAGCTACTATAGAATATTTTCTAAATATAAATATAAACCATTAAAAACCATATAAATATTTGCAATTATAGCATTAAATCCCAACCAACCACCTGTTCTATTGTCAATATTTGTGTGGCTACCATGGTGCGGTTCCAGGTGGTTACCGTCGCTTTAGTGCCCGCCAGGAGGGTCCATTATGTAAAGTTCCTTAACCCACCACGCACATCCAGCGATCCAGCACAACCCACTTGGCCCACTCGCCCGTATATCATTTCATTTCGTTTTCCCTGCCGGCGACGTGTGTCAACAACTTGTTGCATCCACTTCCCTTGGTGTGGGCAGTACTACCTCCCACGGGTCGGTGGCTTGCATGGCTCGCTAACTTTCATGTAAAAATGATCATTATCAGGAAGAGTTCTCGCCGCATTATTGTCGAGTCTGCATATTTATTCAACTGATTAGCAAAGGCTTACAAAATAGTTGTTTCGCTTGGACTTTTATGATAATGAGTTTGGCCAAATTCCGGGCAAAAAAAAAAAGGGTGGCTTTTCTCTAAAAATATTTATTTATTTTAGGAAATGATTCCAGCACTGATTCATCACCATATACCATTTTAATTGCTAACCGCACTGGGACGATACATCACAATTACGATATTTTGGTGATGATAAGTCGAGAAATAAAAGCTGTCAGTTCGAATAATTGTTGATTCAACTGGCCATAACAGAAGGGGGTTTTCGAAAGATCTGATACAAACTTGGATCAAATCCATACCCTTTGCTTGATTGCTTTATTATTCAACCAAAGAAAACGATAATTAAAAACAAATTACGGGCAAAGATGCATGTTAACCCAGTTAGCTTTGGCCACAAATCGGTAATCAAACGAAAAGTTGTAAATTACATAAATTGAACACGATTTTCATGTCTTGCATTATGGCATAATCATAACATAACTCGAATCAATTTGTTGTGCATTAATAAATATTTATCAGGAAACGCGGAAAAGCTGATTAAAGCCAGCCAACTCTGGAGGAAAACCCCAACGAATTGAGGGTCAAAAACGCGCCAAAAGCCCAAGAAAAGCAAAAACACGTAATTGGAAAATGCAAGAAAAAAAAAACGTGAAAAAAAATACATTTATTTCAGTGAAATAAACTCACTTTCGAATGATTGCGAATGGGGTAGCGACTACATTCCGTACCCGACTTGGGTTTAATATTATTTGTTGATTTGTGGCACTGACATCATTTTCTGATGCATTTTATTTAAAAATTTTTCCACCCTTACTATACGATATATTGCCAAATGGATTTGGCTATAGCTTTGGTCTATTGCTCTGACTCACTGTGTGTATCTTGCAGATACTCGAGTCAACAATAATAAAGCTGAAATACCATGGCGTAGCCAAAAACACGAACCGGTTGATGGCGTCAGTTTGGCCGAGACTCACCCACCAAATAGAAGAAGAGAAAAAAAAATTATGTTTGAAAGAAAACTTGTTTCGGATGCCCCCAAAAAATACTCGATCTCCAGACCCAAACAAGGAGATCGCTTTGTTTGCCCCAATCCAAGTTCAGAGGAGTCTTTTATGCCAGCTATTAAGTCAAGTGTCCTCGACGGGCGGGCCAAGAGCATCGTAAAATCACTGATGGATTGCCCTTTGACCCTTTCAAACACTGTCAGAAGTCTCCGACCTCTCACACATGCATCACACACTTCAGTAGCTCATTTCGTGTCTATTTAGCTGATAAGTGTAGTTTTCATTTTCGACTTTTGTTTACGCACTTATTTTGGCCTATATATCGGATGCCCCGATTGTTTACGACACTCGAGTTGATTTTCCACGAGCTGCCGTTGAACTTTTCCTTTCTTTCTAGAAGAAATGTAGACATATATATTTTATTTATTAGGTCTATGAATTTTATTATATAAAGATTTACTAAATGATGTGTTTGACAAAGAGGAAAGTATCTTTACAGAGGGTTTAAGATCTTTATAGGCTTTAGCTTTTTTTTATAAAATAAGATGAAACATCACATGATTCATTCGAGTGACGACATCCACTTTCAATGCTAACTACAAATTGCATTTCATTTTCATTTAAATGCCTCCCCACTTTGCTTATATTTTTATTGATTTTATTTTATTTACTTTTTGGCTCGGCCAAGGCTTAGATTTTAGTATTCCACTGATGACACCGAAATACACTGAACAAATTATTGTTTTGGTGCTAAAGTGCGCCCCCAAGTGGAGTGGCCCAACCCTCGAGAGATACTCATAAAACCAGAATTTATGGGCTCTATAAGGGCCTCAACTTATTTAATGACTGTCAAATATTTTGATGTCAACTCACTTGAGTAATTCTCCAAAATCAGCACTAGAAATACGGTCTTATCACCATTGATACAGCCTATTTATCAGTTAAGAAAAAAACCCCATTTTTTCCGTCCATTTTTTTAGAGCTCCAATAACTGGAAACCCGTCTATGGCGCTAGAAAACATTGAATTTTTATTTTGTTATTTATGTACTGAGGTCTGGGGTCCCGATAAGATTGCATACTTGGTCAAAAGAGCCAGAGGTTTTGTATGAAAAAGTCCCCATATATAGTATTGCTCGATAGCCATGGCCATTGGACATGGGTTATACTTATTGCCAAGGCGATAAGCGATTTGCCGGCGAACCTATTGGTTACGCAATTATTGTGGCGAGACCTTCCATTGGATTAGGTTACCAGAAGTATATACTGTATAATGCCGAATACTTTCCTTATATAGGAAATTTATTTATATACTTCTTAAAAACTTGATAGCCGTGTGATATTCAGTTTCCTTTGTTGGGCTGAGAATTATTAAAGAGCCCGCCGTCGAATATAAACACTTTCTTAAGAATGCTTTGGAAAAACTTCAAGATGGTGTCTTTGATTTCCGATTGCAATCAGAAATTGTCTGTTTATTTTTGGGGGGTGAGGAGGAGTTGTTGCACTCCCCCCGTTGCATTCCTTTGTTTTTTTAGTTCAAAGGGAGTCTTTCATCTGAATTGGAGTAAACAAACGACCCCTAGACATCACCCCTTTTTTTCACCCACCTTCTGATAAGCCCCCTATCGAAGCAGTCAGTTGACCGGAGATAAGCACCTCTGATACCGGAACGGAAATAAGATAATTTACATAACAGTACCGCACCGCTTAGATTTGATTTGATTACCTTTCCAGGTTTTCTTGTGGTGTTTTTCCCCCCTTTTGCATGCTCTGATCTCTCGGTTAATGTGCAAATTCTGGGAAGAAAATCATAAAACATTGAACTGCAAGTGGATGGGAGGTAGTGCATCAGGCAGTGACCTGAGAACCCGTCTAGACGACGCCATTGTTCCTCCTAGCCAGCCCTGTTTGTTTACCCAGATGAGCCTAGGCAATGTTTGTCATTCGCAATGCAATAACTTTTACTGGAACAGATCAGTAGTTGGACCGGGGAGGTGCATCTTAAAGATGTGGCATCTGCAATTCGTTTACACAATTCTTTAGCGGCTTCGTGGCCAGACCAGCGACCCATTCGTTCTGCTCCTGTTAATTGATTTGCGTCTGACTTTTCTCAGCCGGTTGTAAATTGAAGTTAATTCGACGGCAGGCCCAACAAGTAATTGTATGGAAAAATCTACAGATGGTCAGCCAAGACTCGAAAGGAGATGACGTCGGTGCTGAGATAGAACAGCCTTTCCGGCCATGGTCTGGTGTGGTTCCCATAAATGCGAATATTGGCAGAAGTTCAAAAAATTTGCATGGGGACTTGACCTATCCGCACATGATTCTCACACTAGTGCCAGACTTGGCCATAATTCTTTAATGTTTTCCTTTCATGCTTGCGAAAAACAATTTCCATTTTAAGAATCTATTTAATGGAAAAACAGCCTTTCTTGGCGCTTCTCATATCATCCAGCTGGTAGGTTCCTCTTCGAAACCTATCCTTTTTATACGCTTCTCATCACATCAAGCTGGTTACTAAACCCGCCAATAAATACCCTAAACTCAATTAGATAAGAGACAAAACAAGCCCCCAATAAAAGCAAGTAAAAACATTGACCCACTAAGAGTCTACTTTATTGACCAATTTATGACGTCAGCTCAGACCAAACAATTTTCCGAAAGCCGTGAAAACTGCACTGTTAACTTATTGATTTTTTTGGTCTGTTTTGAAGTTCAATTCGAGGAATTTCGAATGATTCATTAATGGGAAGGAGGTGGCTTACGGCGTCGCAAATTATTAATGGCTGGATGCAAATGCACATTAGAATAGACAAGTGTGAGTCAGACATTATAACTTGTTAACACTCAAGCTAACAATTTGTTTGTTGATAAATGTCTTATTAAATAATAATACTATTGGATGCCATTGCCATGTGCTCAGTTTCAGGCAGATGACTCACCGAAATGTAATAATAAAACTAAGAGTGTGAAACAAAATGTGTAAACACACAAATTTATCTCACATATATATATGTAGGAACTTGAAACCAGACTGTCGATTTAGTTGTTTTGCGTTCTTATAAATGTATTTATATTTTTTTTGCAAACTTTTATCTCGAATTACGTCATTTAGGGGGGCCAGTGCATAAAGAAAGACTCTCGAAGTCAGCGACAACTGTCATAATGGCCAAGTTGAGTTTATGAAGTGCTGGAAAGAATGTGCGAAGCCAGCCACAAAAATTATAATTTATGGTGGAATTTTCAAAAGGGGAGACCCAAAGAACAGAAATCATAAGTAAGCAGTGTAGTACATAATTAATGTGGAATAATCTTTGAAAAGATTAAGCTCAGCTCACAAGAAATGTATAACGATAAGCGTAAGTTTAAAAGAATTCGTATTTTAAGGAATTTATAAAGTTTCTTTGAAATTTCATTTAATTTCTGACCTTAACAGCCAATCGATCAATGACCTCAATTCCCAAATCAATCGACAGTAACTGATTTTGAATACAATTGCAAATCAAAACAAAAGTCCAGCAGTTTCTAAAACTTGATGGGAGTATTGGGAAGCCCTCCTCCGCAAAAGGCAAGTGGAAAGTCACGCCGGGGCACTGACAAATTTTTGACTTTATGTCAATCATACGCCACGTGGGCGTTCTACTTGTACACACCCACAAAAAGAGACACACACTGACCCAGTCTCCCCAGGTCCCTCGCTGAAGACTTGGGAACTCTTCTCAGAGGGAAATCGTAGAAGTCACATAAATGGAATTTTTTTTGTTTGTTTCGGATTTAGTTTCATTAGTGTTTTTGCTAAGAGGCTTGCTGCTTGCCCTTTTCCCTACTGAGTGCAACTCAATATTAACGATGCCCCCAAAAGTTAACAAGCATGCTAAACGGTGTCTGGAGTTCAATAGTTCAGCGTTTTGTCGTTTGTCGCCTGTCACATTTCTGACCCAGATGTAAAAGTAACAGAAATGGCCAGCAGCACTATATGACTGACTGAAAATGAAACTGAAAGCAGAAAAGCCAGCCCAACAGACAGACAGACAGACCCCCCGTCTATAAATAAGCACTGAAAAGTTAAGTAAAAACATGTGTTGCCTTCTGCGAGGCCCCAGCAGCCAGCAGCCAAAACATAAATACAAACAAATGCGTGTATTAAGTGTATTGTTTTAATCGTTTACCTACCCCCACCCATTCCCCCTTAGTTTACTATTTGGCTTGGACTTAGTTTTCTGGCTTGACTCGGCTTTGTTTTAACAATTTCTCTGCTTCTTTGTCTGTTAATTTAGTGCTTCAGTTTTGGGTTTCTATGTTTTCTATTATTATGTTTTTTTGGGAAACACTGTTTCCAGGCTTTTGTAATACTTGTTGCACAGCCATAGGACTGGACTTTTGTGGTAATTTACTATTCGTAATGGTATAACTTTTACTTTTGGCCCAGTCTGGGCCATGTCGGTGTACTGACTAATTTCCATCTATCTTGACGTAATGCTTTTGTAGCTCAGTTGAAGCTACAAACGACTTAAAATTTTAAGTAATTTTTAAATACAAAGTAGCACAGAAAATACTATCTTAATCTTACAATTGGGCAAAATTCGGAAAACTGTTTTATTTTTTGCTTTGTTGTTCTTTTATGATGTAAAAATCACAGCTAAAATTTGATTACTTTTTGAAAAATTTTTGATATGCAGTCGGACTCCAGTGATTCACTTTGCGACTTCCTTGACTTGAAATATCTGTAAGTTTGATTCATTTTCATTACAAATTGGCTATTCCAGTGAATCAAAAAATTTTCTAAAAGATAAAGACTGAGAAGAGTAGTATTTTTTAATTTCCTGAAGCTTTAAAGTACTCTTGGAAATTACTTTTTTAAAATGTGTCGGAAGACTGTCCCGATTAGAGATTAAAGATAGGACTTTACTTGGTTTCTACAGAAATTTGATAATTAACTTTAAAACACTATCTTTTTTAGAGAATTAGATAATGCTCCTTAAAATAATCCCCTTTTCTTTTTTCGAATTCCTCCTGAGTCCGTTTCTAAGCAAAGTAATCTATCAGTTTCAAAGCCATCGAATAAATGTATCTATCGGATATGTTACTTTATCCCTTATTCAAAGTATATATTCCATTCCATATTATCTTATAACGTAAAATACCACTTAACTTTATACATAACTATATAACTATCTATATAGTAAGCCTTCCTTTCTTATTTCCAATCATTTAGTTCTCATTCTATTTATTTCTAATATCCCCTCTATTTCTGTTGTTTGACCCACTTATCACTTGACCCAATCTTTTGGCGCCTTACAAAGTGCATCAAAAACAGATCCACACCCACACACATCATCGCAGTCAATCAAAATCGAACAAAAACGATCAAAAATCATCGATGGCAATCAATTTAATTAAACGGCACGCCCTGCAGTGAGGTTGTTGAAAAACTAATTTTCGTATTGAAACCGCAGGCGCCACAACGGGCGGTCCCTCCCCCATCTTCCACATGCCACCTTCCACCTGCCACCAGTCAGCCCACTTTCCACACCTCCAAACTCTACTCCGGAATGGGAGCATTTATTTTAGTTGATTCGGTCCCGTCGAAATCTGTTTCGTAATCCGCGGGGAAATGCATTTCCAAACACTGCATCAACTAATGATCATCCATCCATTTCTCTTCCACAGATTTCAGGTCGGATCCATCTACACATACATCGGTGAGGTGTGCGTCTCCATGAACCCGTACAGACAGATGAACATCTACGGCCCGGAGACGATCCGCAAGTACAAGGGCCGGGAGCTGTTTGAGAACGCGCCCCATGTCTTTGCTATCGCCGATGCCGCCTACAGGGTACTCAAGCAGCGCCAACAGGACACCTGCATCCTGATTTCAGGTGAATCGGGTGCCGGCAAGACCGAGGCTTCCAAGATCATCATGAAGTACATAGCCGCAGTGACGAATGCCCAGGGTCAAAATGAAATCGAACGGTAAGCTGCAAAGTCATAAATTAATATACACATAGGTTACTAGATTTTGGAAAGGGGATTCACAAAATCACAAAATTTAAAACGTATGTTATTTTATCTTCAATTTTCTTTGATTAATGTAAAGGGTAATGAAGAATCGATCTACAAATCGTTTAAGGTATCCCGCTTAGGAATCGGATCAAAATTGGCAAAGATATAGACTTCACTGTGGCTCATATTTCCATTTTCATGGATTTTCAATATTTTGAAGGGGACCCCCTAGAAAATTTGACAAAAAATCTGAAGAAATTTTAGTTGCCAGATTTTGATGCAGATTTATTCAGAATCGATCTACAAATCGTTTTTTTTTTTTTCCTTAGGAATCGGATCAAAATTGGCAAAGATATAGACTTCACTGTGGCTCATATTGCCATTTTCATGAATTTTCAATATTTTGAAGGGGACCCCCTAGAAAATTTGACAAAAAATCTGAAAAAATTTTAGTTGCCAGATTTTGATGCAGATTTATTCAGAATCGATCTACAAATCGTTTAAGGTATCCCGCTTAGGAATCGGATAAAAACTGGCAAAGATATAGACTTCAGTGTGGCTCATATTGCCATTTTCATGGATTTTCAATATTTTGAAGGGGACCCCCTAGAAAATTTGACAAAATATCTGAAAAAATTTTAGTTGCCAGATTTTGACGCAGATTTATTCAGAATCGATCTACAAATCGTTTAAGGTATCCCGCTTAGGAATTGGATCAAAATTGCCAAAGATTTTGGCTTCTCTGTGGCTCATATAGTGGTTTTATGGATTTTCAATATTTTGAAGGGGACCCCCTAGAAAATTGGACAAAAAATCAGAAAAAATTTTTATTGCTAGATTTTGATGCAAATTTATTCAGAATCGATCTACAAATCGTTTAAGGTATCCCGCTTAGGAATCGGATAAAAATTGGCAAAGATATAGACTTCTCTGTGGCTCATATTGCCATTTTCATAAATTTTCAATATTTTGAAGGGGGCCCCTAGAAAATTTGACAAAAAATCTGAAAAAATTTTAGTTGCCAGATTTTGATGCAGATTTATTCAGAATCGATTTACAAATCGTTTAAGGTATCCCGCTTAGGAATCGGATGAAAATTGGCAAAGATATAGACTTTGTGTTTTTTTTTCTTTTTTTTTTTTTTTTTTTTTTTTTTGAAGGGAACCCCTAGAAAATTTGACAAAAATCTGAAAAAATTGTAGTTGCCAGATTTTGATGCAGATTTATTCAGAATTGATTTACAAATCGTTTAAGGTATCCCGCTTAGGAATAGGATCAAAATTGTCAAAGATATAGACTTCAATGTGGCTCATACTGCCATTTTCATGGATTTTCAATATTTTGAAGGGGACCCCCTAGAAAATTTGACAAAAAAAATTTTATGCAGATTTATTCAAAATAATCGTTTAAGTACCCCCCGCTTAGAAAATTTGACAAAAATCTGAAAAATTTTCAATATTTTGAAAGGAACTTCCAGAAAATTTGACAAAAAATGTGAAAAAATTGTAGTGGCCAGATTTTGATGCCGGTTTATTAAGAATCTATCTACAAATCGTTTAAGGTATCCCGCTTAGGAATCGGATCAAAATTGGCAAAGATATAGACTTCACTGTGGCTCATATTGCCATATTCATGGATTTTCAATATTTTGATCAAAATTTTGAAGGGAACCCATCCAGAAAATTTGACAAAAATGTGAAAAATTGTAGGCCAAATTATAATTTTAATATTTTAATGGAATCTATCTACAAAATTTGACAAAAAATGTGAAAAATTGTATGGCTCAAAGATTTTGATGCCAGTTTATTAAGAGATTTTGAAGGGGACCCCTAGATTTATTTGACAAAAAATCAGAAAAAATTTTTATTGCTAGATTTTGAAGCAAATTTATTCAGAATCGATTTACAAATCGTTTAAGGTATCCCGCTTAGGAATCGGATAAAAATTGGCAAAGATATAGACTTCACTGTGGCTCATACTGCCATTTTCATGGACTTTCAATATTTTAAAGGGAACCCCCTAGAAAATTTGACAAAAAATCTGAAAAAAATGTAGTTGCCAGATTTTGATGCAGATTTATTCAGAATCGATCTACAAATCGTTTAAGGTATCCCGCTTAGGAATCGGATCAAAATTGGCAAAGATATAGACTTCAGTGTGGCTCATAATGCCATTTTCATAAATTTTCAATATTTTGAAGGGGACCCCCTAGAAAATTTGACAAAAAATCTGAAAAAATTTAGTTGCCAGATTTTGATGCAGATTTATTCAGAATCGATTTACAAATCGTTTAAGGTACCCCGCTTAGGAATCGGATTAAAATTGCCAAAGATTTAGGCTTCTCTGTGGCTTATATTGCCACTTTCATGGATTTTCAATATTTTGAAGGGGACTCCCTAGAAAATTGCTATATAGTTGCTAGTGGCTAGATTTTGTTGAATATTTATTCAAAGTCGATCTACCTCTATCGTTTAAGGTAAAGATATAGATATGATATATACGAATATTTTATATAGTATTAAAGATAGAATAAAAGGTATTTTCCTTTAAGAATGAATAGTTTGTATGACAACTTTTTCAATTGTGTTGCCTTTACATTAAACATATATGTATAAACTTTAATTGTTGAAAAAGCCAGTTGGAATAATTTAAATGTAGCTTCGTCTAATGGCCCTTTAACATGCAAAATTAGATTAAAACGCTTGTCTTACTGAAAGCCAGACAATGTAACCAAAACACTCTAGCTAACTGGATCAGCAATCCACCTGATTGCATAATAAATAGGTTTATCAATTTGGCATGAAAAGGTTGCTGGAAGGCTTTCAGGCGTTATGACAATTATGTGAACCAGGCACTGGGAACCGAAACTCAATCTATAGGCGAGTACCCGCAGGGAAAATAGTCCGGAGAAAAGTCACTTGAATTCGCCATTGTTTGGCATGCAAATGCAAAAACGGAATTTACATTGAGGGAGTCTGGCTGCAAGGTGCCTTCTAATTAGGCAAAACGAAGGCCGCCAATGTATTCCCCCGATGCGGAATAATCGCTCACATGGTCGTCACAAGACCTCTGACCCCCCAATGACATCATTGCCAGAGAATGGCTTAAGTTACCGAATTAATAGTCCCACTAATTGCCAACCCCCCGACAACCACTTTGCGGAATAGACTTTTATCACTTGGGTGTAGTTTAAGGTGCTCCATAAAATGGTGCTCCGGCACAACCAAGCCCCAAACAATGGCGAACTAAATTGCCAATTTTTAGTGCCTCAAATAAAATTTAAAATGACATTTAGTATAGTTTGGAAGGGATTAGGGCTGAAGCCATTTTCTAAATTACTTTTCACAGCCAAGGCATTTAGGGATGAATTTATAAAGCTTAAATGCTTTTTTTTTGATTATGTCGATTAAGTTTTTATGTGTTGTTTATGGTCTGTTGGGGAGGGGAATATCCATTAATATTAAATGTAAATTATCTTTATATTACTGTAATCTTTCAGAGTCAAGAACGTTCTCATCCAGAGCAATGCCATCCTGGAGACATTCGGAAATGCCAAAACAAATCGCAACGACAACTCCAGTCGATTCGGCAAGTACATGGACATCGAGTTCGACTACAAGGCTGACCCGGTGGGTGGCATCATTACGAACTACCTCCTGGAGAAGTCGCGAGTGGTGCAGCAGCAGGCTGGCGAACGGAATTTCCACAGTTTCTATCAGGTGAGTCTGATGGGGGTGATGGGTGAGCAAATAAAACTATTCGTGTGTGGCCAAAGAAGGCCTTATACAATCATGTATGTTACGGTGCACGAATATTTACCCAAGTGAGTCAGCGTGACGCGTGCCAAGTGACGAAAGGTGGCCAAAAGTGGGTGGGATGGGAGCGGCCAGTGGGGCGTCAATTACTAGAGGGTGTCAGGTTGTTGCTTTTATTTTTGGGGAAGGGGGCTTTAGACATTTATTGTCGTTGCTCTTAGTGGGTGTGGTTTCTCCACTACTGGGTAAACATTTTGTAAATAGTTTAGATATTTGAGACAGTTTTATGAGTTTGGAAAAAATACATTCTAGGATTCTAAAGTATCTTTCTTAAAAAGAAATATTTGTAATACAAAATAACAAAGAAATAGACAAAAGCCAGTCATTTATTCAATTAAAACAATTCTACAATTAATTGAATTACTCGACTTTGAATCTTCAAAACTAATTTATTTCTTCCAGTTTAAATGGATGATATCACGATACTAAATGATAATATAGGCGTATCCAAGACTCATCCATTCAACCAGAAAAACAGATCGCGTCATTGTGGGCTGGCTTATTCATTATTTATCGAATAGATTCACCTTTTGTTCGCAATTCTATAGAGTGTTGGGGTGTTAATTGATCACTCTTTCCGTTAACCTAAAGTATTTTATCAATTTTGGATTTCATTTAACACCTATATGATCTAAAAGCACTTAATCAAGTCGCGTTGAGATCAAATATTTGCCAGCCTTATATATTTATAACTCTGCTAAGGGGTTTTCCTCAAACGTGTCTAATGTTTATTTTTAAATTGACTCAAAATAAATATTGTGCCATGTTGTGGAATGTTTGAGTTTAGAACAGCCTACCACCTCGTCTGCATTGCTCATAAATTCTCTTTTTAGGCGAGTTATAATTTATAACTTCTTAGGGTACTTACTCCAGGGGTATTGAAAGAGTTTTCCAGGAATAAACAACACTCAATCTTACTCATACTCGAAAGTACCTGTTCTGCTGATAAGCATACTATGTAGATTTTTATTGATTGCCGGGTTTATTTTCCTTTCTGAAAAGATATGTATCAGCAAGTGTACTGAAACATAAAATCAACAAACAGATAAGTCCATCAAGTTATGACATCTTGTGTGCAATATTTGACTTGTAATATGGTTTCTGTTTGTAGATTCGTAGATTCTATTTCCAAGTTCCAAATGAATAATTGAAACCGGAAGTTCAATTACACTTTAATACGTCTGCTAATTGTCTGCTGTGCTAAATTCCTGTCACATTGATATGGTCATGAAGTACAGAACGAGAGAAAACTGAATTAATTTTGAAATAGTTGGAATATCTTAATTAAAACCCCCAACCCTTCGATCCATTTTTAGCTACTGCGTGGAGCCAGCGACAACGAACTGCGGCAATATGAGTTGCAGAAGGAGACCGGCAAGTACCATTACCTTAACCAGGGCAGCATGGACATCCTGACGGAGAAGTCCGACTACAAGGGCACCTGCAACGCCTTCAAGACCCTGGGATTCTCCACGGACGAAGTGCAAACCATTTGGCGAACAGTGGCGGCCATTCTGCATCTGGGAAATGTAGAGTTTCAAAGTAAGTTTGTTGGTAATTAATAATAAAATTTACATATTAATACTCTCTCTCTTTATAGCCATCGAGGATGAGCTGGTGATCAGCAACAAGCAGCACTTGCAGTCCACTGCCAGGTTGCTCCAAGTCACAGAGTCCGATCTTTCCACCGCCTTGACGAAACGCGTCATTGCCGCTGGAGGAAACGTCATGCAAAAGGATCACAATGCCACCCAGGCGGAGTACGGCAAGGATGCCCTGGCCAAGGCCATCTATGACCGCCTGTTCACCTGGATCATTTCCCGCATCAATCGGGCCATCCTCTTCCGAGGCAGCAAGACCCAGGCCAGGTTCAACTCTGTCATCGGAGTCCTGGACATCTACGGTTTCGAGATCTTTGACTCCAACAGCTTTGAGCAGTTTTGCATTAACTACTGCAATGAGAAATTGCAGCAATTGTTTATTGGTAAGTTTTATTTAAATTATAAAGTATAAGTAATTAAAATTGTAAATTTCTTATAGAACTGGTGCTGAAGCAGGAGCAGGAGGAGTACCAACGTGAGGGCATTGAATGGACCAACATCGACTACTTCAACAACAAGGTAGGTTTTAATCAAAAAACTATATTTTCTTCAAAAATATTAATTTAATCTTCCATTTAAGATTATTTGCGATCTGGTGGAGCAACCGCACAAGGGTATCATCGCCATTATGGATGAGGCCTGCCTGAGTGTGGGCAAGGTCACCGATGACACCCTCCTGGGCGCCATGGACAAGAACCTGAGCAAGCATCCCCACTACACCAGTCGCCAGCTGAAGCCCACCGACAAGGAGCTGAAGCATCGCGAGGACTTCCGCATCACTCACTACGCCGGCGATGTCATCTACAACATCAACGGTTTCATTGAAAAGAACAAGGATACGCTGTACCAGGACTTCAAGCGCCTGCTACACAACTCCAAGGACGCCAACCTGAGTGAAATGTGGCCCGAGGGAGCCCAGGACATCAAGAAGACCACAAAGAGGCCACTGACCGCCGGTACCTTGTTCCAGCGATCCATGGCCGATCTGGTTGTGACGCTGCTGAAGAAGGAGCCCTTCTATGTGCGGTGCATCAAGCCCAACGACATCAAGAGCTCGACGGTGTTTGACGAAGAGCGTGTGGAGCACCAGGTCCGCTACTTGGGTCTTCTGGAGAATGTGAGAGTGCGTCGCGCTGGATTCGTGCATCGCCAGCGCTACGACAAATTCCTGCTGCGCTACAAAATGATCTCGCAGTACACGTGGCCCAACTTCCGGGCCGGCAGCGATCGCGACGGTGTCCGGGTGCTGATCGAGGAGAAGAAGTTTGCGCAGGACGTCAAGTATGGACACACCAAGATCTTCATCCGCTCCCCACGCACTCTGTTCGCCTTGGAGCAGCAGCGCAATGACATGATCCCACAGATCGTCACCCTGCTGCAGAAACGGGTACGGGGCTGGATCGCTCGCAAGAACTACAAGAAGATGAAGGCGGCCATGACGATTATGCGGGCCTACAAGACCTACAAGCTGCGCAGCTACGTCCAGGAGCTGGCCAACCGCTTCCGCAACGCCAAGCAGATGCGCGACTACGGCAAGAGCATCCAGTGGCCGCAGCCTCCGCTGGCAGGAAGGAAGGCCGAGGCAAAGTTGCATCGCATGTTCGACTTCTGGCGCGCCTACATGATCCTGAAGAAGTATCCGCGTAGCGAGTGGCCCCAACTAAGACTCCAGATCGTTGCCGCCACCGCCCTGGCTGGACGTCGCCCGCACTGGGGCCAGCAGAGGCGCTGGCTGGGCGACTACCTGGCCAACTCGCATGATAACAGCGGCTACGATGCCTACACCGCCAATATGCGCAACATGAAGAACCAAGCGGCCGGAAACCCCAATGCCGAGTCCTTCCGCCAGGTCCTCTTCTCCGGATTCGTGAAAAAATTCAACCACTATAACAAGCAGGCTGATCGTGCCTTCATCGTCACGGACTCCACCATATACAAGCTTGAAGGCATTAAGAAGAAGTTCAAAAACATGGATCGTACTATTGCAATCCGAGAGGTAGGTCCTTAAGAATTTAATTAAATGTATCAGTTTTATTAATCCCTATACTTTACCCTCTTAGTTGACTGCGATAAGTGTTACTCCTGGACGCGATCAACTAATTGTCTTCCATTCGCCGAAAAACAAGGACTTGGTGTTTGCCCTTACGGGCGAGCACACGCCCCTGAAGGAGGACCGCATTGGAGAACTTGTGGGCATCGTCTGCAAGAAGTATCATGAGTAAGCACCATACATAATATTTCCAAGATTAGTCACTAACTATCGTATGCTTCCAGCCTAACCAACACCGAACTGCGAGTGAATGTCAGCAGCTCTATCGCCTGCCGGCTGGACGACAAGCCAAAGACCATTATCGTGGAGGCAGCGTCGAATGTGGAGATTCCCAGTTTCCGCCACAAGGACGGCAGCATAATCTTTGAGGTGCCGGCTTCGTATTGCATTTGAGATAGGGATTGCATTCCCGATTGTACTGTAAATTATGCGACCTATTCTTAAGATGCCACGTCATGATCATGATCGGCCTTGGCAGAATTTTTTATTATGTACGTCCTTTGATCCAACTTTGTGTATACCGTGCCTTTTGCTAATATCCCATTTTTCTATTAGTAATAGTAGTTAGTTTTATATGTTCTGTGTGTGTGTATGTGTCTTAGGGAGAAAAAGTGATTGTAATTTTGTACATTTTTCTATAATATGTATGTATTATGCATTAAGGCGATATTTATTACCATCCATGTGAAAAGAACGACCTCCGCCGGTTGACCTGGCAGGCGGCAAAGAACGCAACAAAAAGTATTATATGTACTTTGTGCATTTGGTTCGACTATAATATTATATGATTCACAGCACACGACGACAAACATTTTGTAGCAATTGTTTAATCGACGAAACAAGTTTGTACTTAAAAATCGAAGAAACCACAAACATACGTGTGCCATTTGCAATTAATATTATTTATACAAAATATATGCAATAAAATCTATAACTTGGATTTTTCCATTTTCAAAACAAAGTAGTCTGGGTGTTTTTAAAATTTTCTTATGTCAAACGTGGAGTTGAAATAAACTCATTCTGTTAGATACTGTGCTCTGAACAGGATATACAATTTAGAATAATTTTTCGGAATAATAAGTCAGACAATCTAAAATACGGCTTCTGTAATTTAATAAAACTTCGTTATCATTTTCCAAAAAAAAAATATACCAAGACCATGCCGGATTCGTTGAACCTCAGCTTGAACAACATGGATCTGGCTGATCCGTCCACTTTGTTCAAGCTAAACGGATATGACTGGAAGTGGAGGGCTCTCTTAATAAACATGTCCCTGATGGATATCAATGACATCCGGGCGCCATCCAGCAGTAAGAAGTCTCGTTCTATCAATAAAAAGAAGATCCTCCGAAGGGGAAGGCGCCGGAGGAATCGCTTCAAATACTCTCGACGTTTTCGAAGCAAGACTTTCAAAAAGCTACAGAAGAGGGTGAAGAAGATGAGGAAGCTATCAAACCATACAGATGCCTTTCCCAAGAAGTTGGACCCAATGGAGGCCGGAGACCAGGCGAGCCAGCTATAAGTTTTAAAGAAGACCTCGGCGTGCTATAAAATTCGTAGTTTTTTTTTGTTTTGGACCTCTTGATCGAAATTTATATTCAATAATCTTGGTTTTTTTTAAAACTTTCGACGTAATCGACGCTCCCGTTCTCGAGCGAATCAAAATGTATTGGCACGGACCGAAATAAAATGCACATGGCTCGCCACCGATTGATAAAAGATAAAAATAAAGAGGGTTCGCGGATGAGTGCGGAATGCTTGCTCGCATTCGGTTGTAAATTCTTGAGGGGAACGCGCGCATTGAACGCGCCCAAGGTGATTACATAAATCTAAAAAACCATGCAGAAGGCGATCAAGAAGGAGCTCAGCTTCTCGCTGGACACTCTGGAGCGCTACCGGGCAAAATACGGACGCAGTGCGTCCTCTGACACGAATGGGGCTAGCACTATTCCGAATGTGCCGGCTCCCGGTGCCGATATACTACCGCCTCCCCCAGCTGCTCCACTGCCAGTCTTCACAAAATCTAGTTCGCCTCCAAAGCTGACCAAGCTGCAGGAGCTCCAGCAAAAGAAAGAGGCCTATCTGAGGGCCAAGGAGCACGAACGGGAAATGGAAAAACTACAGCGTACGGAGAGGAGACTGGAGGCAGGAAAGGTCAGGACAGCCAGTCCGACAAAGACCTCTCCCACTCCCAGAACTGGGTCCCCGTCGACATCCTCCACCACAGCGACAGCGGCTGCCACCAAATCCCCTAGCACAGCTGGCTACTCCAACTGGTCCAGCCAGCATTCGACCCTCTGCTCCCAGCCCTGGGTGGCCATTTCAGAGCTGATGTACTTCTGCGACAAGTACGAGTTCACCACGTTGAGTACTCGAGATCTAAAGACACACCAGGAGATCGTGGCCGAGGTAAGGGCGTTGCTCTCCGGAAAGGCACCATTTGATCAGCGCACCCGCTTCCCCGGCAACATCCACGACCCGGAGAACCTGTGGGTGTGCATCGGGCGCTGTGCCAGTGTGGAGTACCATCTGCAGCGCATCATTAGTATCTTCCGGAAGCCCCTCAACCAGCTGACTCCGGACAAGCAAAGGACCGTGCGTCAGAACTTCCATCTGGCGGTCAGTGAGCTGCGGCTGGACATCTCGGCTCGGATCAGCGAGGTGCGACTCTATGATCGTTTGGTCTTCGAGCGAGAGTTCCGTCTAGAGTGGCAGGAAGCGGAGGCCTAAGTAATGTGAATCAGTGAGGTGATCAGTGGGTGGACACAGTAACGTTTATTTGTAACACTTTTCTGGCTGGAACTAGCAGTTCCAGTTCAAATATTTTACGGTGCGCGGTGGAAAAAACGGTTACAAAAATACACTTGGACACTGGATACACTGGCGCTTGGAGCATACGAATACAGTTCAGAGTGTGCGGCGTGCTCCATTCATATATATATATATAGATATATAGCTACATATTTCACAAATCTAGACCGTGGATTGCTCTCAACAATTGCTCGCGTAACTAAATCTAAATGCCACAGGCGGAGAGGCTTCCTTTCCAGGCCTGTCCGCCCATCGGCCCAACTTATTGCTCCGTAATAATACGTAATACAAAACATTTATATATGTACACATAATGTAAACGGTCAAAATAAAGCACTTTTGTGTGGGCCAACGTTAATTGCTTGTGAAGCAGTGATGGGACAGGGCTTTTCTTGTAACTTTTTAAAAGAAAATTTCTTTTTTTTTAAGCAAGTTCTTGTTAAAAGAATAAACTCTACACATGCAGAGCAATCTTAAAAAATTAAATAATAATTCTAAGTAACTTGATTTATAAATTCTTCAATATTGTAAAAATGTGAACAATCAGAATCAAAACTAATGAAAACCCATGTGAATCTATCTAGGTGCTACCCATCACTGCTTGCGAGTGTGTGTGCTTTAGTGTGGGTGCTTAAACGACTACAGGAAGATTCAGTTTGCAGATTATCTTAGTCACTCTATTTAACCGGGCTCCTCCCATCCCGTATAGCTCGTGGGCTGACTTCAGTGGGTTCGGTTAACGTGAGGTTAACATTAACATTGCAACATTTAGTAATCAACAACTAAGTGCGGAATGGACCTAACAAAACTTAAGCTTCATCTTGCTGGTCTTGGGAACGTTGCGAATGGTCAGCGAAATGCGTGGCGAGCGGCGGGGCAGGTGATCCCCGATCTTGTAGGTGTTCTCGCATAAGTCATAGTTTGCAATACGATCGCAGAGCACATCCTCGTTGGTCTCGGCAATCGAATGTAAGTATTCGCTGTACAGCGAATCTTTTAGGATAAGTAAGCTGCGGGGTTCCAGCAGCAGTTTAAAGATCACCTCACGAGCAGGAGAAGCAGTGTCCGGAATCTTTAGTTTCGGAATCATCACCAGCCCCTTCTCTCTTGGCAAACTCCAGCACGGTGTGGGATCCGCAGGAAATCGTGGAGATGATGGGGAAAAAAAGAGGACCATCGGTGTGAGGAAGAATTCCCTGGCCAGGCAGATACTCGTTCACCAGCACATGATTGGCTTTCTGGGACTCGAATATGCCAAGGTTGTTAACTTTATCCACATAGCTCTGCAGCCATTCGGGGATCTCCTCGGCAATCATTCCGTTGGGATGAGGAACTCCACCATAGTTAACTAGCCGGCGATTGAGTAGCTGTGTCCAGCGTGGCTTTGGTGTCCTCTCAATTTGGCTAAGGATGCGCTGCTCCTCCTCAGAAGTGATGAAGTTGGGAATGTACGTGACAGTCGGCGGGCACTGTTAAGGCATTTGATAAATCTTAAACACAGGAAACGTATTCTGTTTCCCACTCACCTTACGCACTTCGAAGCCCGTGAAATCCATGACTACGCCTATTCTTATCTAGGGAACTAAGCTAAATCTACGGTTATTGCTAATCAATACTTTTGTTGGGCTTTGAATTTAAATCAGCTGTCGACCTTTTATGACCATTATTCAAAGAGTACCCGGTCACATTGGCTGGCGATTCAAAGTTGAAAAGAAGCTTTTGTTGACTTTTCCCAATTCTCTTCAAAAGAGTTATTGTTTTTTTTTTTAATTTAACCTAGTTTATAATTTGATTTAGATGTTTAAAAAAAACCCCCAGATGTTTAAAAATATATACCAATTTTCAAAGCCCGCCTTGTCTTATCTATTTTCGATGACGATTTCCGATATACTCAATTCCGATACATTATTAGTGTCTCATCCCTATTACCTGCAAAAACAATAGTTTGCCCACGTAGATCTGTTTGTTAATAGAATAAGACTTTAAACAGGTGTTTGATCTCCTGATCAATGGTTTTAGAATGAGTGTTATGGACAAACTAAGCTCCTTGGATGTCAGCTCCAATGAACAGGTGGATGAGGCCCTGGAGAAGATTGCCGAGGAAGAGGTAGTAGGGTGCCGCATCAACAAAAACATTATTTTAACAAAGATTTAATACGTTGTAGGCGAGGATTAATGAGAAGCTAGAGGGTCTGCTGGCAAAACAGTGCCAGATAGAAGCCAAAATGAGTGGCATCGGCAGATCCCTGACCCTGCTACATACCGTGGACACAGACTCCAACAAACTCAACGAGCAAATTGTAAACACCGCCCAACTGGCGGAATCTGTGAGCGCCAAGGTTCGCCGTTTGGATTTGGCCAGATGCCGTGCTTCTGAATGCCAGCAACGGGTCCATGACCTCATCGATCTACACCTCTGCAGCCAGGGCGTGGTGAAGGCCATCGGAGAAGAGGATTACGAAAAGAGTGCCACGCACATTGCCCGTTTCCTGGCCATGGATCAGCAGCTTCTCCGACGTACTGCCGACGATGTACAGGGTTCTATTACATCCGTAAGTGATGCCGTCAAGACTCTGGAGGATGCCACAGAGAAGACACGCGTTCTCATTGCTAAGAGGTTTGACGAGGCTGTCAAGAGCGATGACTTGGCCTCTGTGGAGAGGTTCTTCAAGATATTCCCGCTAGTTGGTTGCCATAAAACAGGCATCGAAAAGTTCTCCGCTTACATTTGTCAGAAACTGTCGGCCAAGGCGCAGAAGGAGCTGCGAAATGCCCAAGATATTGCCAAAGCGGAGTCTCGTCTTCAACTGGCGTACGCAGATCGACTTACAGCTATATTGGAGAACTTTGCGCGAGTTGTAGAGGTTAACCAGCCAATAATTGAAGCCGTCTACGGCAGTCAATCGTAAGTATAAGCTTAGACATTAAAATATGAATAAATAATCCTTCAAATAACTTTCACAGACCCTCATCCTTGGTTGACATGGTTGCTATTCTGCAACACGAATGCGATGCCGAAGTGAAGAATTTACTTATGGAGTTTAATAAGAACCGACAAATACAGTACCGAAGCAAGCAGGTTAATGAATCCACACAGCGATCCACTGCCAGTGGAGGAGTGGGCAGCAATAGTATTCAGGCTCTGGGTCACTATCGTAAACCATCTGGCGGATCTGTCGACAAGCTGAATCCCAAGGAAATTGATGCAATTATTGCCGAAATAACAGTTATGCACGCCCGGGTTGAGCTGTATTTCAGATTTATGCGTCGCCGCTTGCAAGTTCACGTGGAGACTTGTGCTCCAGAAAAGGAACAGTCTGAATTGATGGAGCGCTATGAGAAGATTATGAAAACCTCAGATTTACGCCGACAAATGCAGGAGATTCTAAGCACTTATTTGCTTTTTGAAAGGTAAGTAACTAAAGTATATACTAAATATGACATTTTTGATTTATGTTTCATAATTTTAATCCTAGATATTTCATGGAGGAAAGCGTTATAAAAGCCATCGGGCTGGATACCTACGAAAGCGGACAGCAATGTTCGTCTATGGTAGATGATGTCTTCTTTATTCTTCGCAAATCGATTCGGAGGTCGTTGACAACGCAGTCGATTAATGGAACATGTGCTGTGATCAATAACGTTGCCGCTTGTCTTGATGGAGACTTTGTGGCGGCCCTTAAGGCTCCCTTGAAAAGTGGATACCCATCGGGTTACATCGACTTGGCGCAAGCATACAATGCAATTCAAACCACACTACAACAGGGCAAACTACATTCCAGTGATGCAGATCGCAGCCGTGCCAATTTTTTGGTCCAGTTAAACAATGCCGACATATCGACCGAATATATCGAAACCCTCTGGCAGACAATGGAGCAAGAAATTGCTGGTACATTTCCTCAAACTTCTCCGGTGGAGCGACAACTACTGGACAGCTGTCTTACCGAACTCAAAGCGGTTCGTGATGCATTGAAAGCTACTGTCGATTTCGGAATGCAGCAGCTGAGGTCAAGTGTTGTTAAGCCACGCCTCAATCCTTGGATAAATCAGTTTTTAAATTATAGTCACAACTTAAATGAGGTAAGAACTATTACATTAAATGTTAAGAAACAAGTACAAGTACTTATAATTGTTACAGGAAGAACTTGCTGCCTATGAGGCCGGAGAAACTTTCGTTCAGTTCTTTATTGTGCAGTTGGATGGTCTCCTGAATTCCTTTAAAAGCGCCTTGAGTCCAAGGAACTATGATGCACTTGTCAGTATTCTCGCTACCGAAGTAACAATCCAATTGGAAAGAGCTATTAAAAAAATAACCTTCAACAGAGTAAGTTCTTAAAGCAAAATTGTATGGATTTAGTTTAATAATTTTTATATTCCGATTAGCTTGGCGGTCTGGTTCTTGATCAGGAAGTCCGGGCTTTGGGTAGCTACCTAACCGGAGCCACATCATGGTCGGTTCGCGACAAGATGACGAGGATTTCTCAAATCGCCACGCTTCTGAATCTGGATAAGATTTCAGAGCTTTCCGAATATTGGAATCCCGAAAATAACAAAGAAATGTCCTCATGGCATTTAACGCCCAACGAAGTTCGCACATTTTTAACTCTAAGGTAATCAAACTTTAATTTACAAATGAGATGGTATTAACTTATAAATTTAATTTTCAGAAGCGACTTTCGTATAGAAGATATCAAACGGTTGCAGCTTTAAAGTTCCAACGAAACAACTTCTTTCTGTTTTTGGCTAAACCAATGATTGAAATCCAATCGCAAAAGAAGCTGAGACAGTGGATTTAATGTAGATGCTGTTTTTGCGTCCACCAGAAGTTGAATAAGGCTCGCAATTTGAACACCAAATCTGTAAAAAAGATATTTTCGAGTTAATTCAAATAATACACTATATATTTATTGCTCTAAGCCTTATTTAAATAGCATATACGTGCCGTGCAATAAAGTTAAAAAAATGTAATGAAAATCATATCTTACTGTTCTTCAAGACTGTCGATATCTTCCAAAAAGACCTCTTTTAGTGAAGTTCGGCTTAAAGTGGTGAAAGTCTCACAAATGGAAAACAATTTTAAAATGGTACCATAAATTGGATTTTGCGATTGGCTTATTGTTCCGGTCATGTTCATGTGGCCTTCCTTGGAATCGGAAATGAGGAAACACTGCGACAGAACATTTGCCAAAAATACTGTGTGGGCCCTTTGAATTTCTTCAAAATCAGCTTTTCCTTCGATAACATTCATAAGTATACCGTATTGGCCTGTAAAAAGAAGCTATTAGTATCCACACTTAACATTTTTAAGTCACTTACTTTCAAGAACATCCACTTGAATGTAGTACTGCATATTATTTAAAAAGAACATCAAATGATTACGGAGATTCATGGCTTTGATATGAACATCGGCTGGCTCATGCCTAGCGAGACATGTCTGTTTAGCCCACGCTCGTTGCATTTCAAACTGGAGATTTCGGATGATCAGCAAATATCTAAATATGGTATTATATCTTTCTATAGCCTTCGGGGAAAACAAGAGGTTCAAAGGCCACTGAAAGGTGAACTTTAAATGAAGGCATTGAAAAACATGAAAATCAAAACTTTCATCGGGATCGGCATTGGCTTTTAAATAACTAAGCGTGAAGTTTTCTATATCATCTGCCATTCCCATTACTGTCGCTGCAATCTAAAATTAATATGGTTATTTTTATTAAAACGAAATTGAATAGAAAGAATATAAGTACCTCAAAAGATCTTGGATAATTTTTGTTAGTTTTTATAAAATTGCAATCAAAAGGACCATTCAACTGTGTTAAGAACTCCAAATAAAACTCTCCACGGCCAAGCAGATAGAAGTCCTTAATGAGTCCCAATTGACGCACCAAGTCGACTTCGTTTATTGCAATTTCTGAAAGTCGCTGACTGACATATTTCTTGATCAAATTTACAGTGTCTTCAATGTGGAATGGATTGATTCTGGGCTCAAGGCTTAAGTCCTCTATCAGCCTGAAGTATTCTCCCTCCCTGCCATTCCACAACTCATAAATATCATCGCGGCACAAATCAGAAAGGCACACTGACAACTGGTCGGTCTCTTTTTTGCTTTGAAAGTTGCGTTCCATTTGGAAGACTAGTACTGTTTGTCCCACAAACAAAATTTTTTCAGCCACAACAGATGACACAAATCCGGGTAATTGATTGTGATTGACCTCATACTGCCAAATATAGTCCTCTCCATTTTTGTCGGCGTGCTGAGGGTGCAAGTATGGTACATATTTTTTGTAAATATAATAAAAAAACTTTTTATTTATTCTTACCAATATAGAACTGTTGGAAGACTTGTTGCAGGCACTGCTGTTGTTTTCGAGTGGCGTGAATTTAATGAAAAATTCCGAGTGGACATCATCAATGACTCCAAACAGCATCCAGTGCGCCATGCTTGAAAAGAATGCCATTTTCACTGGTTTTAAAACTCTGAAGAACGAGATAGGATCACTTGAGATTAATAGATTCAAATTTAACCACTACTCTTGTTTGAAATTTACTTTCTGGCTGCTATTTCAAGTTCAAAATCGCCATGATCTGACTGCTGGTACAGGTAATTAAGCAATGCACAGCCGTGAAGTTTTCCAGCTTCGACATCCCTTATGAATTTCCTCAAAAGGAGCAGCGTTGGCTGTTTCGATAGCAATGCATTGTGGACATATGAGAGCGAGACGGGCTTTGTATTGAAGCAGTACGCTTCCAGGCGCTTTATAGCTTCGTAGTACTGGTCGAGAGCACAATCAATGCCCTTGCCAAAGTTTAATAGGTAAAAACCACGCGTGGGTTCTAGGAGAAATAAAATATGAATGAGTTGAATTAATAAACATCCAAACATACCATCAGAAACCTCATTAATCACAGTATCCTCTGAAGATTTGTCGTCTGCATCTGTTCCAATGCCTTGCGTATATCTAACAACCTCGTTGTAGACATTGACGATTTTTAATATGTCCAAAAAGATTTCCTTTTCGCACGGATGCATAAAGCTCTCAACCACACCAGTCTCCTACAATTATTTAAAATCTTTAAATCTTAAAATTCCTGCTGATGCTCCAAAACAACTTACCGAAAAGTCCTTTAGGGCATCGCCATTTGGAACTTGGCTTAAACAAGAGAGCAGAAGGTCATGTAGCATTATGGCACGGTTAATAAAACTTAACAATAGTGTAGGTTGAAAGTTTCTTTGTGGTTTTCATTTGATGCCACCAGAAAATTTATTTAGGTCCGCTATCTGCTTAATAATTTTGGAAATTGTTCATTGAGCGCTACCTTATACAGCTGTTTAATTTTCTCCAACACTGGCAAGAATCGATAGGTCGATAACACAAATGATTTCGATTACAATGAACCGCTAAAAATCAAATATTTAAAAAGGCCACTAACAATTTTTTATTTGTATACCAATGAATCATTTCTAGACAATAAAATACTTATAATAAACATATATAATATTAATTTAATTCCAGCAACCATTTTTTGCGCTCTCGACCGTTTTAATATTATTTTCTTTCCCTTCATCATGCCGTCAACAAACAACTCAATCTGGGTACCGTGACGAGTCCCAACATATTTTTTAACAAATTTTCCATCTTTAAACCATACCAAAGACGGTACTCGAGTGGTATTTAGTTCTTTACAAATCAGCATTCCAGATGTACAATCGAACTCCGCAATGCAAAGACTCGTTTCATTTACCATATTCGCAGCCAAGCCTCTCCATACTGGTAATAATCTGTTGCAAGACATGCATTTTGGCGAAAAAAACTTAATAAAATATGTTCCATTGGAAATAGATGTATAGAATCTGTTCGGTTTGAGATGATAGACATGCCCAGGCAGACAGAAATCGGACGGAAATGGAGAATAAGGCTTAGAGAATTCTGGACTTCCTGCCTCAAAGGTTTTAATCGATATGTTATATTGGGCCATAAAATCCAACAATTCTCTTGTATGTTTTGTATTTTCCATCTGTACAGAGCTTTGTTTAATATAGGAAAAATGTGGGTATTGACGTATTTTCTTTTTTAAGCAATATTGAGAATGTTTCGCACAATTGATTGCCGCAAGAGTCAATGGAGAACTAGATTTTAGGCTGTCTCCCAGAATATCCAATGAGGAAGGTGGCCTGGCACATGAACGACATGGCGAAAAGTAGTACTCCAAAAGCACATCTCCATGTTCCAAGTACTTGTCAACTGATGCTGGATTAAGAACCAAAATTGAGCGAGTGTACGACGGAAGAATTTGGCCAAAGGCAATAGATAGTAAAAATATGAAAAGCATTTCAAAAACACATGATATTTTGTCAGATAATTCAATGATATTATGGGAAATGTCCTAAATCTACTTTAGGTTTACATTTTAAATAAAAAGTACAAGTCCCATCTGCTAAAAAGTGTTTTATTTTAAAATTTATTTTTCTAAACAAGGCTCAGAATCAAGACACCTTTCGAAACTTTTTCCTATTTAATTATTCACAGCTGATTATAATTAATATTTGTTTCACAAGCCCAGTCGGGCAACTCAGTTTTGTATTCCCAGTTAATACCCTGTAAAAAAAAATAATTAATATTTGATTCATTATTTGTGATATTTGTAGTGCAACAAACCCTATATTTCCAAGCATGTAAGTACATAACCAAATCCTTTTCCTCTGGATCTCTATAGTTGATTTTGCATTCGCAACAGTGTGGATCTGAAGTATCTTTTTTAGGATCATAAGAGCTGTCAGGTTCTTCAAGACAAGTCTGAGTGGAAACCTTTAAAAGGGAATATAAAGGTTATCTCAGTGATATGCCTACAAATAGTAATACATACTGTGTTTGTTGGCTCAATTTCCGAAGATTTTTGTACTTCTTTTGGTATAACAACCCTCACCGGTCCATTTTCTTCTTGAGTGCCCAACCAATTCTCTGCATTGTGAACGCTTATTAAATTATTTATTAACTGTTCGTCGCTAATGCCTCCAATGTCTCCTCCTCGACCTTTGAGGGGACCAAAAACTTCATGGTTGTAGAGGGGGTCATTAGAAATGGGATAACCTGAAAGGAAACCATTATTTTTTGTGTATTCCAAGATTTCCTGGTGTAGTACTTACCTAAGTATTGTAAATGCACTCTGATTTGATGCATTCGTCCAGTTAGTGGTTTGCAATGGACAATGCTACAGTCGCCAACTTCTCCGATTCTTTGAAACGTTGTCTTGCAGTCCTTGCCTTTTGGAGAGACCCTACAAACTCCGATTTTGTAGCTTACTACTTCTATTGGCTCACAGCATTCAATAACTCCACTGAAAATATAATTGAAAAACTGAGTAAAGGCATTTGAAAAATAAATCTTAACTTACTCTGGAAATCGTCCCTCCACACGACACACGTATTCTTTTTGAACTTCTCGGTTTCGAATTTGTTGCTCTAGTTGCCGCGCTTTTTCGGAGGTACGTCCAAAAAGTAGTAGCCCAGAAGTGAGACGATCCAATCGATGTATCGTTCTCAGGTTCTTTAGATTGTGCTCCTTTGCGAGAATAAAAACCACAGTATTATGTCTGTATCGTCCACACGGATGTACCTTGAAAGGTCCTCAATTAATACAAGTTTTGTCAAAAATATTTGCGAATAAACGACTTACTGGTATCGAGGCAGGCTTGTTTACAACCACAATATCCTTATCCATGTAAACTATTTTAATTGGCTGTGAAGTAACAGGGACTTCGTGTCTATAATACAAACGTGTGCATATTCCCATGAATGATTGTTTCCAAAACTTACCTATGAACAACATTGGCGAGCAGATCATTGTGCTTGATTTTGTAGTCCTTGGCAACTTTTTCGTTGTTGACTGTCAATTTTCCAGCTTCCAAGCTGCGTTCATATTCTTCTGGTGGGGCAGCTCTAAACTCGCGGCTGAAGACCTCCAAAATCTTTTCGTCCACCCACCGCCCTTTGGCATAGGTAGTGAAGGTGAAGTTATAAGGATATACCTTTCTGAGCCCTGAATATTACAGTTATATATTTACAGTGGTGCTCTTTATATAATCTTTAAGTGGACATACCATTTTCGAAATAATATGAAGTCTCATCATACCGTTCGTCACTGAAACCTGGCCGCTTTGTTTTAGAATCGTTGCCGTCCAACTTGACCTTTTTGGGTTTAGAACCTTCCTCGGGGGTCTCAGTCTTACGTTTTTCTGAAATTGTGATCTCTTCTTTTTCGTCTGGCCCTTCTAAACTCTGAAAAAGATGATATTTTTTAAAAGGAATTTTAAAGATTATAGGAATCGACTAAATGGGTAATATTCTATTCTACATTTTATAAAAATGCTAAAATATATGGCAGTAGAAAATGCTTAAGCCATCATGCAGACAAAATCCCATCAGTTTTTAGCACATACATACAGCCTTGTTTCCAGACTCTGTGTGCAAACATTTTCCTTTATACTTTGTGCTGTCTTGGCATAATTTTCACACAGTCTGTGTATTTTTCCCTGAAGCCAAAACAAAACTAGAAAACTAAAACATATTCCTTGCAACCAGCAGTGCTCAGTTAGTTAGTAGTCTGCCAGGAAATTGGTGATACTTTGCTGGCAAACATAAACAGATGAGATCAAGGAAGGAAAAAAACAAGAAATGAGTCAAGTTAAGCTTAAGATTAAAATTGAAGATTTAAATTCCTTATTTAAATGAATATATAATAGCTAGCCCAAAACTCTTTCCGAGTTTGATGACAAGACACAGACAGCCACTGCATTGGCCCAAAACTTGGAAGTATTTTCCCTTTACCTTATCTATTGTCCTTTATTCCGCAGAGGATTTTTTTGTAATGTGTGTTTACATGGTATTGTAAGAATTATAAAAACGACTGGCCCAAAAGGCGCATCACGGAAACAATGAGGACCACACTTAGATACGAAAGCAGAAGGCAGTGACACTAATAATTGCGGAAACATCACGACCAGGTAGCAGTAGCGGTAGCAGTATCCAGCCAACTTGACAAAAGTGGCTCGTTAGGAAGCCACTAAGATGGCGGGCACTAGAAGCCCCGGACACGGCCGCAGAGGCCCTACCAAAAAGGCCTTGTCGTCGGGAAAGCCGGCAACCGGCAAACATAGAACTAATTATGACAAATCCGCGGTAAAATATATGAAGATAACTGAAGCCAGTCTGTCCAGTTGGTGCCGCACATAACTTTACTCCCTGCGTAGACAAACAATTGTTGTTGAACAACCTTGCCTCTGGTCCCTTCTAATATTTCCTCAAACCCTTAGTTTGTATTTATTAGGCAACCGCTGCATGTTTATTACTTAGGGTAAATTTATTGTTGGAATAGATTGTTTAATTAGAGGGAAAAAATAAGTGGTTTCATCAAGCATAAACCGGGGCTAAATAATCGCAAGGATGTTTAAGCCCATTTGCCACTGTCACGTACGGTGAGGTAAAAGCCAACAAACAAAGAGCCCGCAACTTGTATGCTCGGTTTTTGTGGGCCATTAAGGGTTTTGTCTGAAATCTGGTTTTTGTTGCACATCTTAGCAGAGCCCTAAATTTTTAAGAATGTACTGACGCCTAAGGGTGGCTTTAAATTTCTATGCAGCCAGAAGAACGTTGACTCTGCACGGCCACTGCAGCAGTCTCGTTTATTGGGGCATTTGTTACTCAAAGTCTCGTAAAAGAAGTTTAAATCTTCAGGTGTCCTCTTCCTTTTTCTTCTTCCTTCGCCACATGTTTATATCCATTTTTATGACTCTCGAAACTATTCGAAATAGAGAAATGAAACTGAAAATAACCCCATTTTAGTGTGGGTGTATGACCACAACAAAAAGTTTAAGTATCTCAGACTACGTAAGGTTTTTTGTAGAAAACTTTATTCTGTTTCTCATTTTATTTCAGTTTAGAAACCTGCCATTTATTTATTTCATCCTGGCCAAAAGTTTACGAAAATATTTACATAAAACTTTGTCAAACTCACCACTTTTTACATCAAACAACAAACAAACTTGTCGAAGGCGAACATGTTTGACAAGGATATTAAAGAAAATAGCTAAGAAATGTTTATATTAAAGGTTTACAATAATCCTAAAGGTATGTCCTTTTTTTTAAATCAGTTATCTAGGTAGTCTAATCCTTAACTCATTCTTTATTAATTGTTAAAATTAATGCAACAAATTGCATTTGCGTTTCCCTGATTAGATTTTTAATTAAGTTTTAAGTGTGTGATTGAAGCGCTGCATTGAAATTTCCCCTGACACCAATAATACTGCATAAGTAAGGACAGGATTCCACACATTGTATTTGCGAACGGACTCCGGACTCCGGACTCGACGCGAAATTGTTTTGGGTATTCGATTCCCCCAAGATAAATATCCCCCTTTACTAGCCGTGAATCGGTCAAAGCTCTAGCAGCCCTTCCCAGACCGTGGACACTAAAACGGATAAATAAATTAATAATAGTAGAATGTATTTGCCTAAAAGACAAAATAGACGATAGATTAGATTTAAATAATAAATGTTTACTTTAAATTTAAATCTATTTAGCTTCTAAAAATATAACAAAATAAATAAATCATGAAAATAATAGAATTTAAATAAATTCCTTCTTACCTGAACTGATTCCTGACTACCATCCTCCTCCGTTGGTTCTGTCCCTTTGAAATCATGAAACCAAACGCATTGGGGAGAGGCGGGTGGTCCAGCAGCATCTGTTAACAAGGTCGAGCTCCCAATATTTGTGGCCAACATGGACCGGTGCAAGAAGATGTTCTCCACGTCCACTCCGGCATCTCCATGCTGGGTCTGAGCATTTCGCACACATGTCGTATTTAGCATTTTGGACAACCAGTTATGGTTTATTGTCGGTTCCTTGCAGTTTTTAGTGTCCTTCAGCTGCAGCCTGTTAACAATATTCACACACCGCTAAAATAACAACAACAAGTAAATCAACACGTGCGCCCACTTTTGGCCGGGAAACAATAAGACACTTTTATGAATGTATGAGGTGTTCCATTCAACTGATCTTATTTAATAACCTAGTAACTTATACAAAGCACTTGCCAAACGGATATAGAGGCTTTTAAATTGCCGTAAAAACCGCATGAAAAGCTTTGTTTTTATTCTTCAGTAAACCACCAAAAAGCAAAACAAGTTATATCGAACCACCGAACGAGCTGGTGGTCTTCGAACTGAACTAGTTCCATTAGAGGTGCTCAGATAGGGTGGGTTAACTTATTTATTTTAAATTTGCTGGAAACATAATATATTTATAGGCTATTAGTTCAAATTGAATATCATATTAAAATTTATTGAAATGTTGTCCAGATCCATAACTTTCCTTTCTCAGTGTTCACGGTTTCCCTTCTTATTTGCCTTTTATTTCAGTACCATTGAAGATCAAGGATTACGTAGCTTTAAGACTTAATATTTGAGTTCTAGACTTTCAAATTTATAAATAAACTAAAATAAAGTCATAAATGTTATTCTGATCCCTTGACTAAAAAGCTTCAAGCTAATAAAATGTTGGTCTAAGAGCAGAAATTAAATATTTTTATATCGAACTCTTAGCCCTCTTATGTATGCTACAAAAAAAAACAGCCACAAAACCCTTAATTACGAAAAGGTCAATTAAGAAGGTCAAATATTTCTGAGCAATTAATACCTACAGCGTTACTGCCATTTTTAATTAGACTTCAGTGAAACGAACTTGTAATTGAAAATATCCTGATAAGATAAAATCTTGAAAAAAAACTGATTTATACCCGTAACTAGCTAATCCTCTTCTAGATGATATATGCCTTGGGTTACTTTTTTATCGAGCCTTGGCCATTCGTGAGGCTTAATTACATTAACGTGTTCCTATAACTATAGCTATGTATGTTTTTATATACACGCTTCTGCCAACGTATGTGAGGCCATTCATGCAGGAGCGTAATATAAAGCACAGCACACCTTTCTATATGTTCCTCCTTTATACTCCTACATATACATATATATATACACGATCTGCGTTGTTTATAAACACAAGGTAGATGGGCATGTTTAGAGGTAAAGCTTTTCTACGAACAACAACAACAAAAACGCGATGTCGTCATTTTTAGTTTTGTCCAGGCGAAAAGTCAATTTAGAACAGTAGCTCAACGACCAGGTGTTGGATGTTAGTGTGTGGGTGTGTGGCTGGGTGTGGGTGTACAAAAATACAAATGCATGTCCTGACAGACTCACACACAGGTTTTTTAGAAAAACAAAAACAAAATTTAATGGGTGAGCTAGCGCACACCTACAAAATATCGTGCTGATTTAATCACTTTCTTCGTTTTCACAAACGAACGTCAACTCTGGCTCCCATACACACGCACCGTCCACCATCCACCCAACACCATCCCCCTTTTTATTCAGGATGAGCCTTATAGCCAGTGGCCATTAAATGTTGCCTTAAATGACGGGCAAGCCTTTTCTTTGTTGTGTGCTTTCGTGACCAACCGCGTTTCAAGGAGACCACTATACCGTCTAGGTAGGTGGCTCGTGTGAAAGTGGGTGAGTTAGTGAGTTACGAAAAGCAAAAAAAAAACCAAAAAAGTCACGCAGTCAAACACGCAATTCTGGGAGCCGCAGCCCCAAAATTTTATCAACATAATGTTTTCAATTTTAGCCATAAAAGCAAACAACTCTGACCTCTGCTAATTGGTAAGGCTCGAAAATTTAATGTCACTATCACAGGTTTTCATAAGGGTATCTCGTTACTTTGAAGGATATTTATGGTTCTTAGTCCTAGTTAGATTTTTTCACCTTTGTGTTTTAGTTTTTATAAAGTTTTGATCTCATATAATTATTTTTTGTTCATAGAACCTTTTCTGCAAATAAAGAGTTTAAAATGACTTTAATGTTTCATTGCATTCGTACATCTTAATAAAGAAATCTATTGTTTCCGCCAAACCCCCCGATAAATCATAAGCAAAATCTGATGAATGTTTTTGTTTCTGTTATTTAGACCAACGGATATTAAAAGGTTGTGGTTGCAAGGCCTGGGCGCTTGATTTAAAATATTAAAACGCTTCAAGCGCATGCACAGCCCGGCACAAGTCTTAGAAAAATTGCTGACTTTATTCGAGCGAATGTGGGTGTGCGTGCGGACATTTTCCATTTGGAAGGCGAAAGTGTGTCAAACAGTCCCCATAGTCTGTAAATTGATATTACCACTTTAAGTGTGGTGCTACAATTCTTGACCATTAACAAAAGGTCATTAATATTATCTATCTTTCAAACATTATTAAGGAAATGAACTCAAAAAATATGAAAATAATTTAAAGTACTTAAACTTGAAAACCCTTTATATATAGTTTTATTTTATACTCATAGTATTTGTAAATATTTAGTTTGTTCTTTGATATCTTTTGAAAATATTTACTTTTTAAACTTAATTAAAACCGTTTGAGCCAACATGTTGCAGTTGCATGGCCGTGGTGAGTTTGTGGTTCTCAAACATTTCAAACTATTTTATTTCAAAATATTATTACGTAGACTTGCGGTTAAATTTAAAGAAAAATAAATAAAAATTACAAATATACAATTTCACTATAGCCATTAGAACTAAATTATTAAGTGATCCAAATATTTTAAATATTTTAAAAAGCAATATAAAAGTCAAAGCCCACAGGTCGTATGAGTTATGGGAAACACATTGCTCATACGCCGCATAGAACAATGGAAGTTATGAAAAAAACTTTAAAAATGCATGTTTTAAACCATAATATATTTGAAATAAGCTAAAGTTTTTTATTTTTACTGCTTTTCCATCCTTTTCCAAAAAACAACGTCAGGGCATCAGTGCGTATGAGTAATAAATAATAATCTTAACTAGAAAAGACTGTTTGTAAAAATAAAAATCTTTTATATTTAAAATGTTAATTTTTTACCTTAAGTTAACTAGTCTCTATATTTAAGAAAACAGCAAACCCAGCCGCGTTCGAATTTTCCTCTCCACCACGATGAAAACCCACCACGACGAAAAACAAGTTGGCTTGGGTCGGTGCTTTCCCGAGTTTATTCGGTTTTCTGATTTCGTACAGAGCAGGTGCTGCCGCGTGAGTGTCGGACAGGTATTGAAACGTGCACGGCAAACATTTGAAAACATACCGATTTCGCGTGTGATGCCACTTACTTGAAGCCATTAACTGGTAGGTGCTGCTGCACCTATTATTAAATATTTATTCTTTTTCGTAAATAAGAAAAGAGAACCCCGAAACTCAAAGTGGAAGTGACAATCTATATTTTTGACCAAATACTGTGATTTGCCGGCCTGTATAAAATCTAATGGAATCGAAACTAAAACATAAAAACGGAATTCTTTTGGCCAAAATACAACATGAATGACATAATATCATGATACGCGAATGATCAAAGGAATCAAGATTATATAGTCTAAGATGGACAGATGACTAAACACTCACATAATTAACACGCTAATTTCCCATAACCACATCATTTGATATTAGAGGACGACCATAATGACATTATTTGTCAGAGGCATATTTTCGAGTTTTGAGATCTTATTTAATAATAGGCTAAAGACTTGAACCAATTGGAAATGTGTACAATACATAGGTTACTATATAGATAGCGTATTATACGCACAAGAATACGAGAACTAATAATATTCCCCATTGGCGCACAAATGGTCCATTAATAATATTTTGTTTCGGTACATGAAATGCGTCGAGGCGTTTCAAAATTTTGTACCAGCAGTGAAATTGGATTTACTTTGGCCAGGCACCTTCGGCTAATACAAAACATTGGCATGTATTATGTATATGTAGTCTCTTTTAAATATAGAAGGTAGCAGCTCCCACTAAAATTTGTTCTTGTTTTTAAGCCCATGATCTATTGTCATCCTCTTAAGATCTGGGGACCTTACACACGCGTTCCGTCGCCTATATATCTGTTCATTTTGGTTCTGAAAGAAAAGATATTCTTCCTTTCCCATAGACTACATAATATAGTTATGCAAGAATTTGACTTTTCCGCTTTTTTTTTTTTTGAAAAATGTACTAAGCCACTTGAATGATATACAATTGTGGTTGATATTTTGATAAAATGGAACTAAAACAAAAGAAGAGTGATGACAAAAACGAGTGTGTCTATATCTATGATATCTATGTGTTTATGTACATTCTTACGTATTAGGGACTCAAAAATTTCGAAAAATTTTTGTTTTTTTGGTTTTCTGGTTTCTTGACGGACACGAGCCGTCGAAAAGACCTAGTAATATACAAAAACTTATTTTAGCACAAGCTCCCAGAGTAAATAGAAATGTTTACACGTGCACATTTGTGCCATTTGTCTCAGTAGGTGGTGAGAAATATTTAGCCCGTCAGTCTGTATACCTGATTTTTGATAGTTGCGTCTCTAAACACTATATCGTGAGCCGATATCTTAATGCGTTCTGTCGTATACGTATTGTTCCATTACACGTACTATATATGTGGGTATAAATTTTGTATAGAATGAGGCACGCATACGCAATGCCATTTAGCAAAATATCTGAAAAGACGCCTGTACATGAGCGAATTTAGGTTTATACGTATTTTAGAGGATATATTAGACGCACATTACTTTGTCTCCCCCTTGGGGGTTGGCCGACAAATGAGCCAGATGGCTATTAGATTATTCTCTGCCAAACCTTTGAATATTATGTTTTCATAAATCCATAAAACTGGACTGTTCAAAAAAAACAGAGCACATGATCGCTTTATGAAGTTCAAAACCAATAAACATATAGTTCCGACTTTTTTTTAGACTGTGATGGGGAATTGGTTAACGGCCTTCTGCTAATAGAAACCACAAATTAACGCACGAACATTTATATACCACGGTCTTTGTACATAAAGCCGTATAGGTGTCCATAAACACTAAAAAATAAATAAACATTTTGTTTAGCAATTTGTTTATATTTTTAATTTACAATATAGAGCCTTTAAATCGGTTTTTATTTTCAAATAAAACAGTCGAAGAAAGCCTCCATAACCATTTACACTCATTTATTTCATAGAATTGTAATTTACTTAAAAAATCGAGAAAAAAAAGCTTATGGACTCTACAATTTACTGCGCAATCGATATAAACAAATGGTCTTAAAACTCTAAATAACTCTGTGTGTGATTTTAATTGTTTAAATCTGTGCAGCTGTTGTATTACCCAAACGTAATTAATGTAATTTTCGATAAAACAGAAATAAGAAAAAACCCAAATTAAACAAACAATCCAATCCAATCTACAATCTACAGTTTCTTCGCTGAAAGTGATATAATAAACACAGAAACCTAGAGAAGTAGCCGTCGGAACAATGCAGAATTCTCCGGCATCTTGTGCGTGGTATCTGCCCTGGACCCTGGCAGCCCAGCAGCACCAGCAGAAGCTTCTCCAGACGATGCAGTCCCCGTTCCTGGACAAGCTAGGCGCCGCATCGGTGGGCGGTGGGATATTTGCCGCCCAGCCGCAAATGCAACAGCAGCTGTCGCCGAACACGGCTGCCGCCCCGCCGGCAAACTACCAGCAGCCAGCTCTGCATCCGAGTGCTGCTCCCGGAGCCCACTTCCCGATGGGATCACCCTACAACCTGGCACCGCAACTCCTCAACGCCGGACAGGCCCAAGGGTATGCTGGACAGCTGAATCCTACCCAGCAGTCGCATCTAATGCACTCCGCCATGTTTTCCTCCCTGCCGATGGGCGCCTACTATTCGCCCAATGCCCAGCATGCTGGTCATGCAGCCTTTGGAGGAGTTCCCCTGCCGACGGCCGCCCAGCAGTCACTCTTAGCCGCCGCTGCTGCCGCTGGAGGAGCACCGGGCCTGGGCCAGCAGACGCCCACTTCGGTGCCCGTCCAGATGCCCGTACAGATGACCCAGCGGGCAGCACCCGCCTCCTGTGTCCAGCCCCTGGTCCAGCCACTTAACTGCCTGCCCCAGGAGCTGAACCACCTGTCGTCCGCCATCAATATCAATCTGAGCAACGTGGTGGGGCTGCGGAATCCGGCCCCACCGCTCTCCTCTATCCAGATCTTGCCAGGTACTGAGGTGCCGATTAATAAAAAGGTGAGTAGCTGCCTACCTGTTTACCTAGTGCTCGTAGAGAAACCCACTGTTTGTGTTCAAACGAAGGTTAAAACTTATTTGCTCTCAAATGAATAAAACTACAATACGTACACTGAGGAAACAGGCGTTATCTTATATCAAGAGAAATTTATTTCTTTATAATTCAAGTTTATTTTAGTTTTGAGCAGTTTCTTTGGGTTTTTTTGTGTTGTGGATTTTATAGCTTCTATAGGCATAAGTATTTAGTTATTTTTTCAAAAACAAACTATGTCTGATTTCAGATTTTATTAGCAGCATTAGCTTGTAGTTTGTAGTTTTCCGCCAAAACAATGATATCTTGTTTCAAAAACTGAATATATATTTATTTGATTTCGGACGTTCTTTTTTCTGATTATTTTATGAGAAAAATAAGCACTAGAAAATAATATTTTTTCTTGAGAACCCATTTTAGTTTCCAATAATACCTTGAAACTGGCTTTTAAAAAATTTAATTCCCATTCATAAAGCTTAAGAATTACTAAGAAATTATCTTCAATCAAACGGATTATAAAAAGTACCTTCAAGTGATTTCGGAAGCATTTTCCTCCCTTTTTTCACAATATCTAAACCCTATAACTATAGGCATTAAAGTACAATCTTGTAATGTAAACAAAAAGCCCCAATTACCACTAATTGGTCTACCACTAACTGATGTTTCTCCATAATAAGGTGTTACCCAATTCTTTTGCCAACATGATGTCAAAATTAATCACAAATTATTTCATATTTGAAAGTTAGCAACCCGACAATACATATATTTAGCGTGTTTTTTTTTCATTTAACAATAAAATCATCTGAAGTAGCATTTGTTTTAAGTCTGGTTACATTTCGGCTTTCAGATTTTCCAGTTGGCTAGATGCGGCTTTATTATACACTACTTAGCTGCTGTTTGCAGGGCCTTTTGCGGCTATCTTTTGAAACCCGATGATTTCATAAGCCAAATGGTGAGCGGGCAGCCAACTGAGTTGGTCAAGGTTTCTGTTATAGCCTCCTCCTCCCCAAACATGCTAGTAGCTGCTCCGAGATGTTTTCCATTGTTTAATGCACATAAGTAATTGACGCATTTCAGTGTCTATAACTTTACACTTGGCAAGTTTATGTATGTATCTACATTGTATATGACCATGAAAATCCAGTAAGCTGCATCTAAATACACAATAACAACACTTGTTTGTAAGGTACTACATATAGACAATAAGGCGGGTCAGTGGCGTCAAGACAAGGGGTCACTCTACCTATCCGGAAAGCTATTTATAGTTTGTATTCTTTGATCTATTCATCAATTGAGTTTTGGCAACATTTCGATTTTATATCCCTCGTTTAAAATTATTACAAATTGTCTTACAAATTTCCTTTGATTACATTTCATTCACATTAAAAAGCCACATGTGCCTGAAAGTGCACACCTTTTGGAAACATTTGTTTTGCTTTCCTTTAATATAAACTATTGAATACCTCGAACAGACTGTATAATGCACCTGTCTTCCTTAAACAAATTGGTCTTAAATGCTTAATATGGCTTGTTTAAAAACATGTTTTTAAGCCAAGAACTTCTTTGGAGAACCCCTCTTAGCCAACACTATAACTGCCCCCTCTGATCTGGATTTCCTGTTCAACTTCGGTTCAAGATGAGCTCTGTATAGGAGCAGAGAACTGGAAAATTGTATCATTTATGGCTAAGTAGATAAGCACCGTTATAGGATCAGACGACTAGAATGTCACTGGACCATTCTTAGCTTTTTCGCAACCGGCTTTTCGCAAATGTTGCTGCTGTTGGCACTTGAGTGCACTTGCAACAACCTACCATACTTGGTACAAACCTACTTGAATCAATCTAGTTTTTTTTCTCCTTCAAGTCAAAAAATCGCCTACGGATTTCACAGTTAAGTCATTGAGATATTTTAATTGCGAAGAGAAAAATTCCAGGTATATACCAGACGTATCATAATTAGAATTGCAAATTTTCACTGTGTTGATTTTTATTTTTTCGCAAATTTTTAATTGCTAGTGGTAGTATTTATTTATGACGTTGTATGAGTGCTATACCAATAGTACAGTCTATACAATTAAAAAATCATTTCAAGATAGAGGATGTTCTTAAAAATAATTTAAAAACAATAAGGTAAAATTAACGAACTATGAGATCGTAAAAACATGAATTATAATACTTGTTTATGGGAAATATTTGCATAAGAAAGTCATATCTTTCAAAAATTATATTTACGAGTTACCCATAAATAACTCAGTTTTACGGAAAATTGTGTGGTACCATTGTAATTAAATGGAAGTTTATAAAGAAGTGTAACCATGTTTCTTCTTTTTTTTATCTTAGAAATTCTTCTTAAATTCTTTTAAAACTTGTATTTGTGATTGGTCTGGATATAGAATCCAGAATCCTGACATCAAAAATATCTTTATATTTTAACGACTTTATAAATCCATTTATTCTTTCAAAATAAATTATGAACATGGCAAATTTTGGCTCATGAATGATATCAAGAATAAATAAAATGTATTTATTTATGAATGCTTTTAAAAATACTGCTAAAGAAAGAAAATAGAAAAATAAAATGTATTTAAATAATTTTCTTACCTGGTTAACAATATTCCTTTGAATTTAACGAACTAATAAGTGGGCTTACTCTTCATAAATGAATAATAATGAATGAGGCTACGCATTAATGAAATCAAGAATAACAAAATAGAAAACTACCTTTTGAATAGCCACTATAAAATTATGAATACGTTGAGAGTGCAAAAAAACAAGAGAAGAAAAGAAAAAATAGTTCTATTATGAGTGCTCTTGAAAATTGATAATTAATAAAACCGTGGGCAGTAGTCACGTGTAGTCTTCCAGACCCGGGGGCTGACATTCGCGGGTCTCCTCGCACTCGTATGTGGCACTCGGCACTGGCACCTTGCGCAACATATAGCGCATTGGTGTGCAGGCGATAAAAGCGTGCCGCCCCCGCCTTGTACTTCGCACCCCCACCGATCTTCTCCATGAACAGCCTTGGGGTGGGCGGACTCATAAATATATTCCTAGTGCTAGAATCAGACACAGCCGGCATAGTGCCGGGCCGGCATTCGCAAGAAATTATATCAAAAATGTGATAGAAAAAATGATATAGTTTGCATAAATTTCCCGACAAAGAAATACCTCGGAGTCACCTTGAAGGCAAAGTTAAAACATGGGTTCCAATCGAATATCTCGGTCAACCGAGTTTCCCCAGACAGATCGTAGATATAGTATGTATGTACAACCACTGCGTCTCGTTCGCTTTGGAAAACCAATATACTCCATACTCTGGGGCATCGAGTATAATTGGATATGCAACTCGTGCACATATAGATGTATCTCGTATATGCAGAAGTCTAGATATATGTATATACAATTCTATAGGTATCTATAGAATTTTTTTTTTTTAATACATTTATGATAATTGTGGGACTGTGTGAGTGCCATGAGCCGTACGCCACGATCGCTGGCAACAGGTCTCCGCTGTTGAATGATTCAATTAATTGATCATCTTCGTTTATATTCATCTCTCATGGATGAGTAGACGTAAAAAGCGTGTAGGAGGTCTTCATTCATTTGTCTACGATGGAAATCATCATAATGGTAATTGGCCAGTGCAAACTTATTTTTTGCCAGATATAATCAGGCGAGACTAATTTTGGACCAGATTCGAATTTTCCATTAGCAGGCCCTAGATGTTCTAGACATGTGTGCCTTTTAGAGCCTATGGTAGCTGTATTTTTCAGTTTCATGTCAATCAAAAATGGTTTATTTTCGGTGTTGAACATGCACTAATGTAGTCTTAACAAATATTTACTACCGTCAGTATTTTTAGGGGCCTTGTAAAAGCCAGAAGCCCAGAAAGCCACAAACTCATTGCTAACTTGTGTTTGCTGCAAAAATAAACAATTATTCCCGGGCCTCGGAGCCATCAACGAAGTGAAAAATGGTTATTGCATGTTATGATATGACGATTGAAATAATTGTTCAAGTTTCTTGTATTTAAATTTTATATAATCAACTTTAGTTTTTGTGCGGATATCACGATAGGCAGTAAATTAGGGAAACAAACAAAACAAAATAATGTTTGGATGAGCCACAAATCGGAAATAGAGTTTCCTTTTAGACCGAAAGTGAAACAAACAATAGTTCTTTTAAAATATTATATCAGGGAACCCCTAGTCGCTAAACAAATGTTTTAGAAATCCAATCTTTACAAAAAGACAAGACATTTAACATCCTAACATGATCCTGACATTTAAAAATATCAAAGATCATGTTTTTTGAAAAAACTATAATCTCTACTAGAGAATTAGGAAACCCAAACATTTTGGTGAGGGAAAACCCACATATACTTTTGACATGTTATGACTCCTGATACTTGAGCAGGTGAAACTACTCAAGTATTTATTTCTTTTGGCTAATTTTTAGGTTAGTACAACGGCGCTAGTATATATTCGTCTGTTCATAATGATCTAAATTTAAAACGAATTTATATATTTCGAGAGTATCGCTTGTGCATTGTTCTGGGGTTGAGACTCATTTTAAAATATGGTATGTACACATTGTAACTGTAGGATCTCGTCCGCTGCTCGTGGGGATTTCATAGAGAACCGTAGCTCTGGCAGACGGAATATCATCTCGTCTCATCTCCCGTGGTCTATGGGGTCTCGGGTCCATCGGTTGCTCTCCCGCGCGACTTTTTGGGCATGCAACATGTTTCCATCACTCGTTGGGCGCATTGCCAAGGAAAGCACAGCAAAGACAAGAAAGCCATAATGAAGTAATTCGACTACCAGATACCCGGTACTTGAGATTTTTTAATTGGTTTTTTATTCAACGAAACATCTGGTCAAAAAGCATAGTTTTCTAATTGATTATGATAGATGAAGAGGAATTATATTGTTGAAATGTTTTATATTAAATACAGAGAGTCTTTAGAGTCTAGATATTCTATTTGATAGATTTAAATTAACGTTTTAATCAATTCCTAAACCCCAACAAAGAGACCACTTAGTATATAATATCTTTCACTAAATAAAACTCAATATACTCGTTTACCTTGCGAGTACCGTGCACTAAAGACAAACGTCAGCCAATAGTAGCTCTGATGCCTTCAACAAACAAATATCATACATATAAACATCGAAGGCAAGTACATATCCCCAACTGTTTATAAATATATGTACGTCTTCCTAGAACAATATTTACGTATCTATGTGAACTTACGTAATTCAAAACACAAATGTAACCGGAGTACCTACTCGGACTACTCCGCCAAGAACATCTTACTTTGACCCAATTTTTAAAGACAAAAAAATTATGATGGAAAAGCATTATTCTTTTTTGATCTTAAGCTTCTTGGAATTTTGTATTTCGCATCCATATTTAAACAAAGTGCATTGCATCTTCTCTTACAGACTACTTCTCCAAGGGAGTCGGAAATTCTGAAAGTGAAAGTCCCCGAAAAGCGAAAAACCGAGGATAACGATCAAATAAAAGAATTAAAAAAGGTAAATATCAATCATTCATTATTCATTAGATGCGTCCAGTAATTGATCACGACTAGTGAGCATTTTCAAGATTTCTGTTTGCTAAATGCTCGATCATGCAATAAACTTCTCATGAAGTAGCTATTTACGAAACCTAATGTTATGTAACCATTTTTCAAGGCTAAACTCGAGACTAAAGCATTGAAGGCTAAAAGACCCGGATTCACGGATGAGAGATATCAAGAGACCTCCTACTACATGGAAAATGGCAAGTCTTTTATTTTGAACAATTCTGGTGGAACTTGGACTGAGTAAATGATTATTAAATAGGTCTTCGAAAGGTCTATCCATATTACTTTACATTCACAACCTTCACGAAGGGCCGATGGGTGGGCGAGAAGATTCTGGACATATTTTCACGCGAGTTCCGAGCCCATCCTGCCGAGGAGTATGAACGTTGTATCCAAACTGGCACCTTGACAGTGAACTTTGAGAAAGTGCCCATTGACTATCGGCTGAAGCACAACGATCTACTGGCTAATATTGTTCACAGGTAAAATAATTTAAATTTTTAATTGTCTTCCACCAGCAAAGTCATGCAATTCAAGTGATTTATCTCTCATATTTGTACTTCCGTCATAGTGTGCTTGCTAAATATTTAAATATAATGTCTGTTTCTAATGCTCGAAAAATGCCAGTGCATCGCAAATCAAAGTGTGAATAAACTGTCAAAAATATATTTACCATGTACTGAACATTGTCTGAACATCATTAATAACTCAAGGCTACAAAATGACAACTTCCCACAAGCATCTTTGTCTTCATTTAATTTTCAATTAAATTTACGAAATCATATTCCCAGTTTACAGAGGAGCGGCACCAAAATTTGCTCAACATCCGAAAGACTTAATGAGTTTTTGGGTTTTAGTTTTTATCTCAAGAATTGTCTTAAATCATTTACCACAAAAGATTATGATTATAAATCACATAACGAAATCGCCAAACTGCGCACCACAACAGTGAAAGTCTGCTCCACATTTCTGCAAATAATGAACCATTATTTATAAGTTTATTGATTTAAGTTGATTCATTAATGTCTTAATTTCCAAAGCATATTGCATAACGTTATTGCATTTCCAATCTCTTAAGCAACAAACCACGGAGATGAAATATCAAACTAACACAGAAATTTCACGGCTATCTTTACAGACACGAAGTACCTGTGACTAGTCAACCAATTAAAATTGTGCATATGGATGAGGACATAGTAGTTGTAAATAAGCCAGCATCGATACCTGTAAGTGGCTTAAACGACTGCCATTTTACACAATTTATACAAAAATCAATCCAAGCTACTTCTGACTAAGTCTAATACTTTTCTGTAATCACTTACACAAAATAATAACTTAGATATAGAATTTTGTAAGGTTTATTCTTAAATGTAATTGTTTCAGGTGCATCCATGTGGACGTTACAGGCACAATACTGTAGTCTTTATACTTGCCAAGGAGTTTAATCTCAAGAATCTAAGGACAATTCATCGTCTAGATCGTCTGACATCAGGACTATTGCTATTCGGAAGGAGTCCCAAGAAAGCGCGACAAATGGAGCAACAAATTCGAAACAGGCAGGTGGAAAAGGAGTACATTTGCCGGGTCGAGGGAGTTTTTCCAGAGTAAGTAATCTTTTCATAAAATATATATACATTTTTTTTAATAATAATTTATATTTATCAGTGGCGTTGTGGAGTGCAAGGAACCTATTGAAGTGGTTAGCTACAAAATTGGCGTTTGCAAGGTATCGCCAAAGGGCAAAGATTGTACAACGACTTTCCAAAAGCTATCGCAGAATGGCTCAACCAGTGTAGTTCTGTGCAAGCCACTCACTGGCCGAATGCATCAGATTCGAGTGCATTTGCAGTACTTGGGTAAGAGGTTCTTCAAAATATCATTTTCCAATTTTGTTTCCAAGAACCAAACTATATCTTTTTATAGGCTACCCCATTCTGAACGATCCTCTATACAATCATGAAGTGTTTGGACCCCTGAAGGGTCGATCCGGCGATATTGGTGGCAAATCAGACGATGAGCTTATACGAGATCTCATAAATATACATAATGCGGAGAATTGGTTGGGCATAGATTGTGATTCCGATATATCAATGTTTAAGAACTCAAAGGATGAAACCGATGGCGAAAGTCTCAGCAGCGAGCACACTTCCGGTGGGTGTTTAGTAAAATCTTTTGTTTCTAATTTTGTTAAGTTTTTTTTCTCACTTTTAAAAATATCATTCTTCAGTTGTCCACCACAGTGACGATGATGTGGGTATAAATTCACGGGAAACTACTCCGCCCTGTATTGAGGCCCAACAGCCGGAACTGGCTGTTAAAAATGTGGAACAAACCAATATTGTCAAAGAATATCCAGTTACAGCACCGAAGTCTTCCCCGGAAAGTGGTTCCATGGAGGCAGTTGGCGGTTTTGGGGGTGAGAGCGGGTCAAAGTTGAACAAGGTCACCGTTGATGAACACTGCTACGAGTGCAAAGTTCACTATCGCGATCCAAAGTCAAAGGACCTTATAATGTATCTGCATGCATGGAAGTACAAGGTGAGTTTTTGACTTTTTTTTTAATAAAATAATATAATTTATGAGTGTCTTATTTTTCAGGGCCCTGGCTGGGAGTATGAAACTGAGTTACCAAACTGGGCCCGCAACGAATGGGACCACTTAGACTCCACATGAGTACACTATACTACATACATTAGGAACCAAGCAGACCAAAATCAACAAAAACATATATTTATATATATATCATAAATAAATACTGTGCCTTTAAGATTGGATAGCATGCATACGCTTCTGTTAATGCATTAAAAATAATACAATAATAATAATACTTATGTACACAAAGGCGTAGCATATTAGAATCCTAAACAAAAAGTTCACAATCAACCACAAATAGGCTAATACAAGAGCTGAAAAGACGTGCAAATAAATTCGAAGCTTTTATTACAAATTATTAGGTATATTTATATGTATACAAGACATGCACTTATCTAAATAAATGATATGTGAAAGGCAATATTATAATCGGAATAGACAACTTTATAGATAATAGTTTATATCGAGTGTAAATCAAGATCATATACTCAAGCAAGGATATTAATAAAATTTTACAAATGTTTCTTAGAAAATTAGCAACGCTCTGGATTTTTATGTGGGGAAATTGAATATTTAATATCACAGCTAAGCGTCCGGCTGCAATAAATTCTTCTAAAAACCCACTTACCCCAAAAACTTTGAAAGTAACCAAACTTTTTTCATTAAAATGCGCTTTTCCAGGCTGCCCCTGCCATTGCCTTTGCAACTAATTGTTGCATTTTTCATTAAAGAGGGTAAAGCCTTCATTTGAACAACTATATACTTACATAACAATGTGTTTTTGGCTGGACTTTTGATGCCATTTACTCTCTGGGGGTATATACGGACTAGCAAAGGCCCCTAAAAGGGAATGATTTGCTTTCCCTTGAATTATTCAGCAATGACTTGCAGTACTTTGCTCCACCTATGAATGTTTTACTTTTTTAATTAAAAAAGAGGATTGACCATTTAATTTCCGCGCAGGACTTATTAAATATGTAATCCGGAAAAACCGAAAACAACTGCATTTTGTTCATTATAGTTCCCATATTTTTCAAACTCTAAACAGAAAGATAAATACACTTTATTATTATAAATTTATTCTTTAAAAAAAATGGCTATTTGTTCAGGAAACTTAAGCTTCTGTTAAATAGACAATAAATGTACGAATCTCCATGGGACTCAGTTCTACAATGTAATCCTTGCTATCGCTATCAGCGTAGAGAGACATATCTATATCCTCGTCGGACAACTTGGATTTACGGGCATCGTACATATTGTACAAGGTAGGATTTATTTCACGCTTAATGCGATTGCTCTCGGCTCCCAATTGTCCAGCTGGCAGGGGTTCATCTGAGTATTTGACCTCCAGTAGTGGTTTATCGGCTCTCAGTAGCTGAACCGACTCGGCTTCCTCCGCGAATGTTCCATAGGTGTTGAAAGCAGCCGCCTCGTTTTCAGGAGCAAATTGGAAACGCTGCGTCTCGTCCAACCAGGCATTTCCATCCAGAGTGGTTTCACGCATGCTCTCGACATTGAAGGAACTCAGGACATTCTTGACATTGAACTGAACAGGCTTGGAGTACATAGCATCCTCGCCATTCTCCAGGAAGTGCTCAAAACGGACCAGAAGTTGGTTCTCATGCCATGGCTCCAGGGTGAGCAGGTGCACGGGCTTGGGCAGCACCAAAGAAACTCCCGAGAACTATAAATAGAGATAATTATAGAAATTGAATATAAAATACGTATAAAAATATATCTTACAGTATTGGTAAAGGAAGTGCGCCATTGCTCGGCCGTGTAGTTCTCCACGTTGCTGAAGAACTTCCATGTGGGCAGCAATTTCTCCAACTGAACCAGTCGCTCAATGGATTTCAGGGAAACGCCTTCACGATCCTTGGACAGACCAAAGAAGAGATGGTGCTTGCCACGGGCAATCAAACCCTCACCGTATTCCGTCTCGTTAAGGGCCTCTCCGACTCCGAAGGCATCATCGCGCAGAAGGCGACGGTGCACCATAAGCTCGAGGGAACCATCCTTCAGGGAGCTGCCTCCCTGAGCTCTGTCAGTCAGGATGGCCATGCGGGCTGTATCGTCCTCCAGATCGATTTTGGTGGTAATGGGATAATAGTTTCCAGCCACCTCCTCGTTAATCTTTACATCCCAGGTATCACGATGGTTCAGCTTGCGCTTAATCATTTCACGACCTATTTGGACAAAAATATTATTAAATAATGTACTTTCGAGATATCTATAATCTTACCATTAGAGTCTGTGTAGAAGACACCTGCCGACTCAATATCAGAGTTGAAACGAGTGATAACCTCCTTGCCGATGTTATCATCAATGGGAATAGGTCCAACCAGCCACTCGAACTCTGCAAAGGAATCCTTCTTGTAGACTCGCACTACCTGGCTGATCCAATCATTGAATTTCTGGTGGACTTCCTCAACCAAATCGCCCTTGTAGACCTCAATTTCAACATGATCGGTGGAGAAGTCAACCTTGTTCTCGTTGGGCCGGAAGATATAAGCACCAGATGATCTGTTCAGGAATTCGGCATTATTGCCAACAGCACCTTCGTAGAACAAGAACTCCTGGCTAACCAGTCGGGTTAGGCCATCAGCAGTCACCTCTGAGAGGAAACCATTCGTGTCGAAGCCAAGTTTAATGTTCTAAAGAATAAATATGGTCTTAGAAGGGTAACATTTTTGGATTTAATGAAACTCACATCATTTCCAATCACAGTCACACTAGAGGAAGCCTTTGGTTCGGCTTGAGGTTTCAGAGTTTTTTTAGAACTTTCAGACTTTTCAATATAGTAGGACCTATAACCCAAAGCTGGAATATTGGTGGCACGGAAAACAAGTTCGTATTTGGCAGTGGAAGCTCGGTGCTTGATTTTGTTAATGGTAGTAGGAACTGGAACCACTTGGGTGGCCAACTCTACACCTGAAATTTAAGAAAGAAATTGGTAAACAAATTGGTTGAGGTATTTTCCAAAAAAACATACCTTTGTTGTCAATGATTTTGTAATCAGATCCACTCACTGGAATTCTGATGTACTCACTAACCACATGGCCCAGTGGGTTGTACAAAGTCAAGGAGAAGCGGTCATTGGACTCCGAAACCGGGCAAGAAGTAATGTTCAGCAGGGGACAGTTTTTGAACTCCAAAACATATTTGCCGCTCTGCTGCTGGCTGGATGGCACTGACAATTGGTTAAGGACATTCCGGGTGGTGGCCTCGCAGGCTTTAAAGCTGACACTCAGACGCTTTGCATAATCCAGGGCGACCTTTTCCTTTTCCGTTCCTGTTATGGCATCGTGGTGCTGCATTATGCCCAGAGTCTCTCGCATAAAGTTCAAATGGGGGTCAAACTCATTGGCCTTTTTGGGGGCCAGGGCGCTGAGCTGCTTGCAGACTTGCAGGAAGTGATTACCATCCCGCTCGAATCGCTTCAAAGTGGGCCGAGACGTGAAGTAGCCAGTCCAGTAGGCATGCGGATCGGAGGCATAGGGGAAGAAGTCGTCGCTCTTGGTGGGCCAGGTGATTCCGGCATCGTGCAGGGACTTCAAGTAACACGAGGGTGTCGAGTATAGGAGGTTTATGTTTGAGCCATTAGCCTGTCGCTCATTGGCATACCTGGGAGTCGGTTAAAATAGGAAATGCCATTTAGTTGACAATAGAATTCTAGCACTTTCTCTCTTTATCTGTTAAGGAAAGCCCTTCCCTACTTACTTTATCAACTTGTCCAGATTCTTATACCACATATCGGCATTTTGGTAGTGGAAATCTTCACCCATGGTGAGGATCACGTTTTGAGTGCGATAGCGGGTGGCCATTTTAGTGACATATTCAAAGAAGGCATCAACCTGTTTTGACATTATGGTTAATGTGGTTTAATTCTTAAATCAGACGGCACATTTTCGACGGAGGACAGAACAGTAAAATTTTGAATTTAAGGGCTTTCGTTAACAGTTTGCAAGGACACAACAATTATGTGAAATTACCGTATCAACTTGTCCAGGTTTTTGTAATAAATCTGAGCAGCCTGGTAGGTGAAATCCCCACCCATTGTGATAATGACATTATTGGTGCGGTAGTATTTGGATTGGGTCTCGGCGAAATCCAAAAACGCATCCACCTGATGGTATGGAGGACACAAACAAAAGACATGACAAGGACAAAAGCTTAACCAAATGCCAGAAGCCAAAAAAAACATAGAAACATTATACAAATATAGAACGATAATTGTACCTTCTCTTTGACATTATTATCGGGACTGTGTTTGCCATCAATAATGGGTGTATCACTGCAAAGAACATCGAAACAGAAACCATCTGGGGCCTGGTAATTGTTGTAGAGAGCTCCGCTGAACAGATCCGCTTGTTCTCCTAAAAAAGATGAACTTTTAAATAAACATTTATAATCGTAACTAGTTTAATAGTTACCCAAGTTAGCCGAACCATGCCAGATCATTTCAGCATTTTTGGTCATCAGACGTTCATCCTTATCCTGGTAGTCCAGGCGACCGAAGAACATGCCATCGAAGCCCATCTGAGCAAACATGGAAGCCATCTCCCTGGAGTGACCAAACGGATCGATTTGCCATCCCACGCGGGGACGACCACATTCACCGAAAGTGTCGTTCAAAAGTCTGAAATTATATAACCATATTTGGTAATGGGTTCTTGAGAAACTTGAGATAAGTATCGGCTTATCACCTTAATCCCCACGCGAATTGATCAATCACACTTTGATAATGGGTGGTGGCCTCATCGTTCATGCTCCAAGCTCCACCAATAAACTCCAGTCTTCCCTGCTCGACCAACATTTTGACGGCATCCTGGACCTTGGGCTTCTGCTCCTTCCACCACTTGAAGAAGAAGGCGGATTCCACGTAAATGAATCGCTTCTCCGGATCTCTCAGCAAGGCCTCCACCACAGAGTCGATGATGTATTGGACACCAGCTTTCTGAATCCTGGTCTCACTTCCATAGTAGTATTGGTCAACGGTCTTCAGCCAGCCCACATCGTCGTGGGTGTGGGCCACAAGATGCACGTTCAGCATATTGGGCTTTGTTGGGTGGCAGCTCTGAGGATAAAGATTTTTATGAATATTTATAATTAAAAAATTATATTTATATTTTTAAAAACTAATCTTATCTACTTATGTTGCAATACTTAAGTGGGTATGAAAAAAAATTTTATTAAAGTTTGTTTTTGTTTTTAAAAATATTTGCTTATCTGTAGCAAAAAAAATACATGAAATATAATTAGGTCTCAGTATACAAAATAATATTTAAGGGGTGTATAAAAATGGAATGACTGATAGCTGGAAATAAACACAGATTAACCTTTTTACTATATATATTATTTGGAATATATTTTAAAGATTATATTTTCAAACATTGTGAGAGTAGAACCATGCTATCTTTCAGTTCCTTGGGTGCTATTGCCTGCAACATGTTGCATGAGCAACAGTTGATTCTTTTCTTTTTGTATCTACTATTTGTATCTACAACTTGTATCTACAATTGTACGTACCTGA